GCGGCGTGGGAGGAGAAATATGCCTAGAGAGTTGTTGGGGAAGCGTTGTGGATAAGGTGGAGAGAGTTGGGGGGTTTTCTCTTTTCCCCTTTCCAACACGGAAAAACATTATCAGGGTTCTGGGGGAACATATCGGTGTTCAAGTTGATTTCCCTTTTGGACTTGTGGGATGCAGTAAGGGCTTTGGAGGGGGGGGATGGTAGTACTGGAAAAACTTTTTTGTTTTCTTCTTGATTGATTACTGGAAACCTTTTTGAGTTGAGAATACTGTGTCTGGCTACTTCAGTGCCACCGTATCAGTGAATACACTCGATCATCACGTGACGGGAGCGAGATGAGTGGTGCGGATATGATGGACAGGGGGATGATGAAGAGGGCACTATGTTTTCCAGAGTGATGCGCGGGGTCTTGTGAGGAGAGGCATTAGAGAAGACGTTGCACATACTCTCTGGAATAATGCAAGTAGCAATCAACTACTAAAAAAGTCATGGTGTGAAGTTGGCCAGGTCCCTATACACCATGTCTGCAAACGTACTATTCAGCCCAGCCAGTCAGCGTTATTTGGACCCATAAGTCTCCATAGTGAGGAGAATTAAGCCAACCAGAGCTCCTATCTGCATTTCTGAAAATTGCCACCCAGATCGCAGACCTAAGAAATGACTTGAGTAACGCTAGGAGCGGATTGTACTTGGCATGAAGGACGTTCGCCACCATGACATTATTAATGGCGCAAAATATGCTTGCAGACATGGTGTATAGTAGTGTAGTACAAGATGAGCATCTAACTTTTGAGCGCAGCATACACAGTAGATGGCAATTGTCGCGAACAGGCGGGTATGGACGAGGCTAAAAGGCTTGATTGATTGGACCCGATAGTGGTTTGCATATGCGTACAACCTAGCAATGATCACTTTTTCGGAGCGCGAAAAAAAAGTAAGTTTACAGGAATCCGCAAGGGGACAAGTGCGTGACGCGGCGATGAAGGCTTTTTTGCAAAAGCAGCCCGGTATTTGCAACAAGGCGGCAGAAGAACCTGACTTGGATGCGCCGGCACACACGCACAGCCTGCTTTTGCCTACGCCAGCTTTTTCGGTTGGCGACATCATCAGGACAAGATACCAAGTGGTTAGTTGATGCCTTTTGGGAAAAAGTGTGAGACGCGGTAGTGGCAAAAGATGAATGTAGTATGTTTATGCTGTGCTGTGTCTGAAGAAAAGCCGTCTTGGTGATTGACAGGAAGAGTAGCACAGACCATGGGGAGCAAGGGGGGGAGGGTGTGCAAAGGCAAGGCATACGCACGCTCCCTCTGACTGCACGCCCCCATGGCTGCACAGTTGAGCAAAAGTCGATACCATGTGGGTTTATCGACGGCGAACAGGTGGTTCCCCGCCGCGAGATGTGCACACTTGCCCAAGTCCATTGATGCTCCACTCGGCTTCGTTCTCACATTTAGTACGTATACAGTCAAACAGGTGGCGTGCGCGCCGTCTTGTCCACGTCTGGTGCCCAGTCTTGAATCTCTTGTGGGTGGAGCTCCCAAGCGTCGGGCCGTTGTCTAACAAGTATCTGCTCCGTCCATATCAACTAGTACAGTATATGTCGTAAGCTCATCACCGGCGTCTTGCCGGTCCTGAAGCTCAAGTCGAAGCCGGCGCCTCGTCGGTGTATTATGTACTTGCGTACATGGTCGACAGGGCTATAGCGGTGGTGAGAGTCGTCGCCATGAGTGAGACATGACGTCTGCTGCCGGGCGCCAAAGGACTCGCTGGCACAACCGGCGTTCATCTGGAACGACAAGGCTTTGTGTGGAGCCCCAGCTGATCGCTTGTGCCGAGGGGGTGGTGGTGGCTATGGTGGCCATGGCGGCAAGGGATACATCATAGTACCAAGTACTAACGAGATGATGGACGCGACGCACACGACGACAACAATGGCGCGCTCGCAATGAACATGGCCAACGACGTGCTCGAAAATACATGGACAAGGCTCTGGAACGGGCTTGCATATTAATATCCGCATGCAGTTGGGCCGTTGCGCAACGAGGGGCCTTTGACGGGATAGCCCCTGAATTTCCCCAGGTTATTGACTTTGTTTTTGCCAGGCCGCAAACAGCTTAGCGGCCAGGTACCATGGGCGCCAGGCACGCACCAAAGGGGGGCCATGCAATCCATCCATTCACCCTCGCACCCACACCATCCCATCGACTCGCCCAGGGTTGCCTCTTGGGCTAAGGCCCTCGGTCCAGACGTAGGCGAGCCATTATAGGAGACGCTCCATGGCCAGCCCGTCTGCGCGCCAATCACCGCCGCGCCGCATGAGCTTCATCTCTCCTTAGTCGACAGTCTAGCCCGCTTCCGGCTCCAAATCTTGCTCCCCTCTGCCGCGACAAGGGCGTTTGCACCCGGCGCGAAAAATACACCGTCAGCTCGCGGGTCCCGTCTTTTATTTCATCTCACCCTGCGCCCGCCCATTCTTTTCTCTTTCCTTCCTTCAAGCCGCCCACTCGCTGATCAGTCACTCATTCTTGTCCAACTACTACCATCTTCAGCTTAATACTACCCCCTAATCCAACTCCTCACACTCTCTCTATCTATCCAAACAGCCACCATGCGCTTCTTCCAGGCTATCCTTTCCTCCGCGGCTTTCGCTGCTCTCGTCGCTGCCCTCGAGATCAACGACTTCCCTGCCCAGGGTGTCGTTGCCGGCAACTCCTACACCATCACCTACTCCCCGGCCGATGATGTCCCCACCACCTTCATCCTCCGCCAGGGAAAGTCCACCGACCTTGATGTCATTGGCACCTTGACCAGTACGTTTGCCGTCCCCTTGACAAGAACCGTTTCCCACATACTGACTCTACTACAGCCACTGCTACCGGTGGAAAGTTCCAGTGGACCCCCAGCAAGGACCTCCCCAGCAAGGGCGACTATGCTCTTGAGATCAAGCGCGGCGACACTGTCAACTACTCTGCCCAGTTCCCTCTTACTGGCGGCGCTGCCTCCGACAACACCCCCTCCTCTTCCAGCTCGCCTTCTTCGTCTGCCGCCCCTTCGTCCTCTGTCAAGCCCTCTTCTTCTTCGGCTTCTCCTAGCCCTTCGGCTTCCGGCTCCTCTTCCATCACCTCGGCTGCTTCTAGCACCCCCTCCGCTTCTGTCTCCACTCCCGCTGGCAACTCCACCATCAGCTCGGTTACTCTCTCCCGCACTCCTTCTCCCTCGGCCACCCGCACTCCCACCGGCTCTGCCAGCGTCCCCGAGGTCACCGCTTCCGGCGCTGACTCTATCCTCGCCAATCCTCTTGCCGCTATCATCGGCGCTGCTGCTCTGGTCTTCTTCGCCTAAGCGTCTGTTTCTCCAACCTTGAGATATCCTGTCTTATGTTTTGTCCCGTGTACGATATATTAGTAAATGGATAACTGTTTTTCGGAAAACGGAACTTCTATATACCCTTGTAAACAGCCCCCTCTTGGTTCAAAGATAAAGTTACGCAAAGCAGAAACAGGGCTGTTCAATGTCAGTCGAGGTTGAAACGCTATGCAAAGAGCTTGTACAGCGGTAGCAGTAATGATAATATGGAACTCGTTTATACCCTCCTTCAAACACAACATCTTCAATGCCTTTGTGACCTCATTCAATGCCTTCATGCCTCTCGACAAATTACACGCATGTCACTCTGACATCTGATACAAAAACCTCTCAACATACTTTACCCTTTCGCCCGCCCTATCCACTGTGAAACACACCTTGCTACACCAGGCTCCCTTAACCCCCCCCATAAGCCTTCCTTAGCCCTACCCGCATCCCGTCAATGCCAAAAAAAATCCTTCCTGCCGCAATCCTCCGCATACTAACTTTTTTTAACCCAGCCCACGCGCAACCCCGCGCAGTCTCTACCCCGTCATGCGCCACTTGTCCCTCCAAATGACGTCCGCCTCAAATCGAAAACACGCTCTAATCCCCCCCCCGCCCTCGCGTCAAGTACCTAAACTACCGTTTACATCTTTTGTCATGGCTGTCCAAGTTTCTTCCCTCTTCGACCCACACAATCTATGTGGGGGGGGGAGGTAAAAGTCATGGGGGGTGCAGGGTGTTTAACTGATGTGTTGCATGCGTTAGTAGCGCAGCCTAAGGGAGATAAGCGGGTAGTAGTACCCGCATCCCCAAAGAAAAAGAAAAGAAAAGAAAAAGCAACGAGTGGTTGCGTGCATGTGCAGCACGCATGCGTTGGTGCTACACTGTATTTTGACTTCGTTTCGTTTTTCGACAGATTTTGATTGGGCTTTTTTTTGGAGGGGGAGGTTGCACTGAAAGAGTGTGACTGAAAGGGGCGCTTTTGTTCAAAGTAACATTAGAGTTTTTGTTCTCGTCTTTGCTTTTTTTTCGCAAGATATCATGTGGTTGCGGGGGGGTTTTAATTTTCGCTCATCAGGTGGTTATGTTTGTACGCCGGATAGCGGGCTAGGCTGGTTAGCCTCGTACTGCTGTGTCCTGACGTGGCTGTGGTAAACTACTGGATTAGCTTTGCCGCAAGTGTACCGGATTTTTTTTTCTTGGTGCACGAGAACGTTTGGTGCGAGGGATATGACGGTGACTGTTTGGCTGGAACTAAGATGGCAAATCGGCGTACAACGGACGATGAAAGGACGGCGTGACACGCTGCTTGTTTGCGGAAAAACGACGTAATTGCACATATTGAAACTTGTTTACTTCTTCATATCCTAAGGCAGGAAGATGTGCAGGGGGGTAAAAAGAACGTTGTTCTTTCGAGTTTCCACGCATCGATGGTGGCTTGAACAACGTTGAGTAGGGCTGAAGAAGGGGTGTGTGTCGTTTCGTTTTTTCTCATGTAGTCCCAGAAATAGAACCAAACCGTGGCTTTTTTCCGAAGCAAGCAATATAGCCCCACCCTATTCATGTATATAAAACATAGACAGCGAGCTACAGAATGATCGAGCGACGACTGACCACTCTAGCTCAAGTGTACAATCAAGGGGATGGATTCTAAAGACGTCTTCCAACTGGCTTCAGCTTATCCAAATCCGCAGACTGCACATCCCACCCATCAGCCTGCCATCCGCTCTTGAAATACTGAGCAGCATCCTGAGAACCCTTGAGATTCCACAGCGCCCAGTCGAGCACAGCCTTGCCAAACATTCCGCCGTTGGGTTGCAAAAGGTCGCCGCCGTGGCCGAGAGGCAGAATTCCCTTCCATTTAGGAGTACCAGCGGGAATATTTTTGAAGTCGCGTTCAGCCTACAGATCAAAGTTTTAGCCAGTATTCGCAAAAAAAAGAAATCTAAAAAAAAGGATAATCTAAACATGCAGGTCCTGAATATGATCCTGGACACATGGTAGTATATCGACATAGAAAAAAAAACTCACATTGGGCGTTGCTTGGTCCTTCGGGCCACCCATAACGAAAAGAACTGGCTTCTTCCACGTAGATGCCAGATAAAACGTATCTTCATAGTAAAGACCGGAGCTGACAATCCCGACGGTAGCAACTCGGTCGTCAGGCAGATTGAAAGCTGCCTCAATCCCGCCACATGAGAAGCCCGCTGCCATAATCCTGCTTCCATCCACGTTTGCATACCTGCCTTTTCCAGCGTGTTCGTAAATCCAGTCAATGGCCTGCTTCATCGTTATGTTGTTGGACGGGCCTTGCATAGCCAGGGCCCCGTCATGCCCCACGTTGTCTGGCGCCATGATGCCCTCGGCGATGGCGAAGAACCCGTTCGCAGCTACATGCTTGAGGAAGCCTTGGTTCGAAGTTCCATCAATGTTACATGCGCTGTTGCCCCAGATTAAAACAGGAAATTTGCTCGAGTCGGCGATAGGAATGCCGGTCGGGAAGTAGATTGTGTGGTTTGGGAGGCTGGAGTCGACGTAGAGCTCGATGTTGCTGTCATTTTGCTAGTTTGTATGTTAGCTTTGCTAGATTTGGTGAAGGAAGTTTCTTAAAGGAAAGAAAACGTACGCGAACTTCTAATTGATGAGGCGATGCAATAACGCTGCCAGCAGAGAGTGCCACAAGGGCGAGTCTAAATGTGTACTTCATATTTCAAGACATAAACAAAGCAACTAAACTGTTATTCTTAGAGATGGCCAACATAGAGATGAAATATCAACTCATTGAAAAACCAAGCCGTGTTTTGTACATTGTTTCCAATTTGCAAACTTTCTTTGAACTCGTATTTTCCCCCATTGGTAAGCTTGATGCTACGCCCTAGAGTATGGGACAGCGCGAACGGCGCAAGTTTGTATATGATTGCACTAATACGTTTAATGCGCTGAAACAGGCCGGCTTATTCGCTCAAATGAATTCCAGAAAAGCATTCGCTCTTTCATTCTCGGTCCTACTCTTGGGTGCTGGGATAATTGACCCGGCGGGGACGAAACACCGATTCGAGAACATTTGCATAGGCAACATACACGACTATCAGCAACCCATTCTTCCTATTAATCTGCATTATTTCCGTTTATCCGCTAAGGCTTATGCGTCTTCTCAAACGAACATGGCTCCTACTGCGCCCACTGCTGCTCCGGTTAAAGCCCACTTTCCGTACCCCGTCTGATGTGCAGCAGCACCAGTAGCCTGGGAAGTTTCCGACGAACTTGTCGGCCTTGTACTGCTCGAAGAAGCGTCCGTAGTGCTGGATGTACTCTGAACACTCGCTGTGCTAGACTCTGATGATACGACTAGTGTAGTACTGACAACCATGCTGCTGACAACCGTAGTGCTTACAACCGCGCTGCTCACAGCCGTGGTGCTTGTTACAAACGTCGGCGTGTCAACAGCTATACTTGTTGGTATGCTGTCGGATGTTGGGAGCGAAGTAGCAATCGGGCTGTTGCTGACTGTGAATGGATCGCCCCATGTTGATATTGGTGCTGCTGATGGCGAGGCAATACTAGGGATGACAGCATCCGTCGAAGCAGGGTCTAGGGCTGAGGCTTCGACAGTGAAAGGTTCGCCCCAGGTGCTTGTCTGTGCGTAGGAGACTCTGAGGAGAGACAAGAGCATGGTCGTTATTAATGGTGACTGCTTCATCTTGTTTTCCAAGATAAATTGATGTATCCGGGTGTGATTTGGACCAGGAGGTATATGGGCTTTGTCGACCTTCCGGGTAGCCGCAGTAGTAATAAGGTCCTAAGCTTTTTTCTGTTTCCTTGGCGGACGGAAACGAATCTATGGTAAGTACTGACACTCGAACTTGATGTTCTACGAGGAAAATCATAAACCGGTTCCTTCACGCTTTTAACACATCCTTTGCAAGGCTCTCCTCGGCATCCCTGCTCAGCCCATTCTCCGAGATCATCTTGTCGGGCTTACGCTTTACGTCTTTTCTGCTTCCAAAGCAGAAATTTGTGGCGTTTCTTTGTATCGAAGCAGCCTAGTTTTACGTCGGTGGTGGCTTGATGTGCTGGCGTGATGGCACGTGATTGGTGAGCCTGCGCAAATCTCGGGTCTCCGCATTGCGCATATGCGAGACAACGGGCAAAACAGAACACCGCATCGCCGTTTATGTCGGCATTCTCCACGAGATTTCGCAGGACGCGTGGCAGTTAATGGTAGCATATAGAATGGTCGCTATTCAAAGGACGCGTGGTGTCCAAGGGAGAAGGGGGATACGAGCAACGCAACATTCTCCGGTGAATGAAGTAAGCATGAAGTTTCCCACCTTTTTCAACTTACCTAGGTAATAGAGTTTTTAACTTTTCATTTTCATTTATAGTATTTCAAATCCAAGGTCATGGTAATATTCAAGTGATACAATGAACATGCTCTATCCTGACAGCATCCATTAAAACAAGCGAACGATCAAGTATGTCGCCAAGAACATCTCGTTGGACATCCCACATGCATTTCACTCGCAATTACTGCCTCCTCTGCACAATTATGAAAATTTGCGCGCACTAGTGGTGAAGCATCTAGGCGTTTGCTCATTGCAAATTTTCACTTTCACCTTGAAGTGAGTGCACTAGCACCACTCACCTTAAGGTCATAGCCAGCGCGCTGATTTCCTCAACCCTCCATCGCTCGCAAAGCCTCCCACATCAAGGCAAGACGCGGGATCCAGCGGATTGTGTTGCAAACATGGCGACTCGAAGCACTTCGAACGCGACCGAATCCAATCCATCCAAAAAGACACTGTTCTTCGGGTGAGTATATTTGTTGCTCATGCTCACACTTGAGACACCTAAGTCTAACAATACTTTAGAACCAGCGCGAAACAGGGTTTCTTCGTCGTAAAGGTTGTATTAGAGAAATTCCAATATGATGTACACAAGACTTTGCTCAAACACCACTCCGAGTACTTCTCTGCCGCTCTTAATGGGTCATGGAAGGAGGCAGAAGAAAACTCAATCACCCTCAACGATATCGACCCGAAGACTTTCGAAGTTTTCGTTCACTGGCTATACATTCAGAAGATTGCAACAGAAGGAGAAGTCGACGACATGCTCGAGACCTACCCAAGCGACGAACATGACGACGATCCGTACATCACTGTTCTGACAAAAGCGGTTGTATTTGGTGACAGGTTTCTAGTCCCCGATTTTCGCAAAGCTGCACAAAACCACATCGTTGAATCCATTCTTTATCAAGACGAAGTCCGCCAGCCCGCTTTTCTCTATGCCAGCAAGTATGCTTTTGAGAACTTTTCAGAAGATCATCTCCTTTGCGAATTCTTCATCGATGTGCATTCTCGTTTTATGAAACATACAGAGAAATACATGAATGACATTATCACTGGGGGGTTCAAGGAAAATCTGCCACGAACATTCCTTGTTGAACTCATAGGAAAGTACAGTAGTATGGTTTCGGAGCAGAGCCTAGACTTAAGTCGTTCTGATTACGCCAACTACTGCGTTTACCATGAGCATAAAGATAACCATAAGCGAAGAGTATGTAAGCAGGGAAAAGAGGTTACTTGTTCCATCGAAGGGCCTGGGTGTAGTAGACGCAAAATACGCGTTGAATAGTGCAGTGAAGGAAATACGGAAGGAATGCCTTAACACAGAGCATTTAGAGGCATGAAAACTCGTTGAGGATGTATCAGGGAACACATGGGTAGGTTGAATCGAAAGCCTAACATTTTCATGCTTTCACAGATGTATCTTAGAAACGAATAGAGAATTCAGAGGGTAGAAACTACATGCACTGCCGCAATCTGCTTTTCGGACGTGTCACTATCGTGAACCATCGCAATCATGTACATACTCAACCCGTTGTCCATCCCAATAAAAGGACCCGATTACGTGACAGAAACTCTAGACAGATTTTCTTCCACGAACAAGCCTTTCATTTTGACAAACTGCTACCCAAATTTCATGCCGTTTCCCACCACCTACATATCGTATGACTGATGGCCCGATACATGATGTAGATAAATGACAAATTAATCCTTGTTACACCCAACCTAAAGTTACCATATAAGAAATTGCAAAGAAAGCGAACTGTTTATTACACGATAACCCACGTAAATTGACCTAGTAAGCAGTTGTCTAGGAGAAAATAAATTACAGTAACTACATTACTTCCAAACACAGTGTCATCCAGAATAAGCTTACCCCACAATAATCCACAAACGAAATTATGAGAAAGCAAACCTAGAGAAATTCAGACATCTAAACCCCACCAGGAATGCCCGGGACATTATTCGAGATGCAGAAAGCGCATAAGATTAATTTCCACACAATCTATCATGCTACCTCAACCCCATGTTCTTGAATCCCCGGCCTCAAACTCACATCAACGGTATAATATGCACAGACCTAATAATGGGTCCCGTCCACATAATCATACCCGTCCTCTTCCACATAATCGTACTCGTCCTCGTTCTTGTACTCATCCTCGTTCTCGTCCACATAATCATACTCCTCCTCATAGTACTCCTCCTCATCCTCATCGTCCTCGTCATAGTACTCCTTGTCATCCATGTTCATCCCCCAGTAAAGCTGCACGACAGGGATAGCGCTGGAGGCCACGGGAGCTTGGGAAGTCTCAGTGCCATCTAGACTTTTCCACCTGTTCATATCGGCGTCAGACTTCTCATCACCTTCTGAGCTCTTCATATCGTCATACTCGTCCTCGTTCTCGTGCTGCTCCTCGTGCTCCTCCTCTTCCTGCTCCTCGTCCTCGTTCTTCTGCTCTTGCACCCCAAACGCCTTCAAAACCCACCCCATCTCAACCATAGTATCAAGCCTCAGATCAACCATATCCACAATAGCCTTCTCCGTCTCCCTCTGCTCCTTATCCACATCCTCATCATCCTCATCATTCTCCCCCGCCCTCGCCTTCCACAACTTAACCACCAGTTTGTGATTACTCGCCTTGCACTCCGCAAGCTCAATCGTCAACTTCTGAACCTCGCCCTCAAGCTCCCACTTCTCATCACACAGCAAATCTTGATCATCTTCCAAACTCTCGATCTTAGCTTGCAACTTGTTGACCTCGCGCTCCAGGTTCTCATTGAGCGACTTGAGCTCGCGGCTCTCGGTGTGAGTTGCGGTCAGAGCGGATGACATGTCGGCGATTTGGTTTTCCATGGTGGTGTGCGTGGAGCGGTACATGCTGTACCAGGCTTCGCAGCGCTGGCGCATCTGGGTGACTTGGTCCTGGAGGTTGCGCGTCTCGGCCATGGTGGCGGAGCTAGTGGAGAGGGATTGACGGATCCAGGATTGGTGCATGAGGGCTTCTTGCTTGCGATGTTCTTCAGAGGTATCGAGGCAGGACTGTAGGTGGTGCACTTTGATCTGGAGGGTTGTGAGGCCAGTGGTCTGCGATTCGATTGTCTTGTGCGTGCTGTCAAGTTCGGCGAGCGTCGAGTCGAGCGTGTTTCGCAGGGTGCTCAGCTCCTTGCGGGCGTTGCTGTACGTGACTCGCTCTCTGGTAAGCTTTTCAATGGCGTCCTGCTGCCCCTTCTGAGCTGCCTCAAGGGCCTTGCGTGTTTCATTGCGTGTGTTTGAGGCTTCTAGCAGTTGAGTTTCGGCAGCGGAGAGGTCGTCCTTCATTTCTGAAAGGCGAGATCGAAGCTTTGTCACCTCCGCAGATGCGTTGCGATATTCTGTCTTGTAATCATATGAGGCGTGGACTGCCATAAGCTCCTCCATCATTATTATTAAAGGGACAAAAACGCCGATTAGAATGCCAAAAATCGCTCCTAGGGCAAGGTCTTCAAGCGTGACCATCTTTTCTTTGACGAGGTCGGATTTTGTTTTGAGGGCGATGTCGGACTGGAAGCGTGCTCTCTTCGTCTTGTTGCTGGATCTGTGTTGTAGTCAGTTGTTCGGAAAGAATACGGGGATGCAATCCAATTTTAATGTCTATGAAAACATGATGCAAATAACCAGTGGGATGGTACTTTGGTTAGGACGAGGCAAGCGATCAGCTGCCCGTGGTCAATAATTCTTGCGCCAACCAACAATGAATCCTGTGTATGTGGCTACCGCAAACATCGTGTCAAAGATAGGCGGGGTTCTGGTTCGCAAACGAGACCAATCTGATACATTAAGGCGTTGGTAATTGGCCTAGATGTAGGCAGTATGGCTATGCACTAATCACGACCATGGGTACCAGTGTGATCATGTACATATCAGTATTATGGCCGCAGCCTTCAAATGTCATCGCATGTGTAGGAGGAAGAGTTACCACGCATTTTTTTTCACGAACCACGGTATCCAGTTAGGTGAACTAGGGACGTCATCGAAATCGATAGTCTTATTTCTGGCTAAAAAACCTATACTTTTATGATCAAGCTCATCAACATGAAGCAAACCATAGGCCTGCGTGGGCGAATGGAAATGATACATGGAGGCTAGTTTCTGTTTTCTACGCATCCTTACTCGTTGAGCTCGACGTAGTTGGCAGGGAAAAGACCCGATTGGCCGTTGAAGCTGCCGAGCCACCAATCCTCGTCGGGGAACTCCTAATGGCACCTGTCAGCATATATTCGAACAGTAGAAACAGCAGAGCCGATATCACTTACCAGACCGGTGATGGTAGCTCCTTCAGGGAAGCTCAGTTCGTTGTCCTCTGCGGCCTCATAGTCGTAGAGAGCAGTCGCGGTAGGACCTGAACCACCAGCAGCCTGGGGCGCCACAGCAGGCTCTGGCTCCTGCACTGCTGAGGGATGCGTGGGTGGTGGCGGTGCAGCTGCAGCACCAGCATCACCACCCTCAACTAGCTCGACGTAGTTGGCAGGGAACAGACCACGCTCGCCTTGCGAGTTGGTGCCCATCCACCAATCCTCGTCTACCATGTCGATGTCGGTGACATATTCGCCATCACGTAGCTCCACCTCGTTATCTTCGGCCTTTTCATAGTCGTACAGGATGACTGCACGCTTTCCAGAGCCGCCTGCGGCCGCCGGCTCATCGTCATCGTGACTAGAGGCAACAGCAGCGGCGCCAATAGCAGCACCACCTACTGCAGCAGCGCCAAATGTGGCAGCAGCAACAGCAGCACCGGCACCACGAGCGGGATCCTTGGCCTCAACCTTGGGCTCGGGTGAGATGTCACGGGCCTGCTGGGCTGCTTGATCCAACGAACGAGTAGGCATAGCTGGTGCCTTTTCCTCTGCAGGAGCAAGTTCTTCTGGCTCCCTTCCACGTGCAACGGGCATGGCGATGCGTACAGGTGAACCAGAAGGCTCAGGAGATGGGCTGCGGGGCCGCCGAGGCGGGGACGGCAGACGCTGGTGCTGAGTTGCGGGGACTTCCTCCTTTTCCTCTTCTGGTTCTGACTCTGGCTGCTTAGGTCGGCTGGGAAGGCCGGGCAGAGAAACACCGCCCCTTATGCCTGCGTTGGGTTTGCTCGAGTTGTCAAGAGGCGGTGGGCTATCAGCCGCCACGGGCTCAGGCACAGGACGAGAGCTTGGGGCTCCCATTGGGGCAGCGCCTGAGAAGCGGTCCTTGAGGGAGTTTACACCTCCAGAAGGAGAAGTGGGTTCTTCTGCTTGCTGTGGTGGTGGCGAACCTCCCGTCCGCTGCTCGTTGAGGTTGGCAGTACCTGATGGGCCTGTTCGGGTGGTCTGTACGGGCGCCCATGATTTGCCAGAGTAACCGCTTTGCCAGCCACCACCTCCACTCGGCTGGCTTTGGAGGGGGTTAGGACGACTTGCAGCGTCGGGAGCAGGTGCTGAAATAGATTCGCCGCGGGCTGCCTTCTTCTCAGCCCAAATTTGGGCAGGTGTCTTTCCACCCTCATCAGCGAATGTCTTGCTCGCTGCGCCGACGATGGGCGCAGGGACTGCGGGCTTTGCACCAAAACCTCCAGGCGTGGGAGCCTTTGTGCCTGTGAATGCGCTGGCGCCGGCGAACTTATTGGCAACCTTGGGCTTGGGCATGCTAGTAAGGCGTTCGGGCTGCGACTTGAAGGCTGCGGACCTTTCGGCGAGCGACTTTGGCGTCTCATCTTCCTCTTCCTTGGGAGGTCCAGGAGACGGGGGAGCAGCTTGGGCCTTTGCACGAATGGCTGCGATGTCAACCTTGCCGACGGGCTCGTACGCGCCCTTGACTACAGTCGGTCGGTCGTCTTTGGCATCCTTTGCTTGAGCTCGGATAGCGGCAATGTCAACCTTTCCAACTGGCTGGTATGCACCCTTGACAACCTCGGGGCGGTCGTTTGACGAAGACTCGTCTTTCCTTGCGGTAAGCTCGGCCATGTTGACCTTGGTGGGCGTGTAGGCAGTGCCCACCTTCTCCAATTGCGACCTGGAGACGGGCGGGGCATCGGCGCCCCAGCCATCACGGTCTTCATCGGCCTTGGGAGCGGGCGCGCGCGAGCGTCCTAGCGGGTTGAAGCCGGAGCCTGCGCCTCCTATCGATGTGGGTGTGAATACAGGCTTCTTCGCAACAGGAGGTGGGGGGCGAGACGAAGGGATGGCGCCGCCTCCAGAGTACTTTGCGCCAGATGCGTCTGCAACCTTTTGGACAATCTTTTCAGGGCTGAGGTCGTCCTCGGAGCGAGCGGTGACTTGGACGTGGTATCCCTGGAAGAATTAGATATCTAGCGGTAAAAGCTCGGGGATGATCAGGCATACATGCAAAAGCTTTGAGACAACCGTAAGGTGGCTGCCAAAGTAGCCCTTTGTCCGCTCCGGGACGCCTTGACCGCACTGCGTGTACGTTAGTAATGTGTTTCCCGCAGTCTCGGCGCCCAACTTACCCAAGCTATCAGGACATTCTTAGGCAGTGACGAGTTTGGGTCCTTGACCTTGACAAAGGCAAACTGGATGCGGCCCTCTGAGAACTCATCGACCAGGTCGGTCAGCTCACCCTCTGCAAAGAAAATCAGCAATTGGACTTGTTGTGACTGCGGGTTCCTGGCACGGATGGTGCTGGATGAGGCGCCGATATCCGAGCTTGGGCTGACGGCTCAGCAGCGGTCAGGCAGCTGCCAATCTTGGGCACCCGGGCTCCGGACACGGGAGGAAGCAATTGAGGAATTCAGGCCACTGCACATACCTCCAGTACTTTGGACCTTGAGGACACTCTCCTTTCCGCTGTCGTGCTGGAAGGCGCTGACGAGCGGGGCAGCTACTGTGAAGACAGCCCATTGACCATATGTGGGGGAGCTGGCCTGGGGGCCAGTTGGAGCAGGGGAATTGACGACATTCTGGTAGCTCTTTGTGATGTTTGGGCCATTGCTGGAGGTGTTGAGCGTGGCCATGGTGGGCGGAGTGTGGAGGGGGGAGGGGAGGGGGAGAGTGGATGTCGTAGGCTGGGAGTTTCCAGTTTATGGGGAGGGGGAGAGGGGGGGAAGGAGAGAGAGGAGAGGGGAAAAGAGGGATGGGCTGAGCTTGTGGAGGAGGTGGAGGAGGAGGAAGAGGAGGAAGAGGAGGAAAAGAAGGAGAAGAAGAGAGGAAGAAGCACAAGGAGCGCAGCGGCAGCTAGTAGCACGGTGGTGGTGGACAGCTCAGAGTCTGTACGCGTATGTATCCCGCAAGCGTATGGCATTGGGTGCCAGGGCCGTGTGTTGCTATGTCATATGGCTTGGCATGGCAGGCTGAGGCGTTCTCACGCTTGCAGTTTGGTGTCTGTGCAAATGGGCCAGCCGGGGAACGTTGCTGGCAATTGCGTGCAGGCGGCAACGGCAGCCTCGCGCCCTTGACAGCCACTTTCGCCTGCTTAGCTGCGTTCTAGCCGGCCCATTCACCTCCACTCTGCCACGACAACCCTCCACCTAGCCCCCGACAACACACCCGCCGCACCGCTTTTTCCCAACCACGCTGCTCCACGCGCGCTGCGCGCTGCTGTTCCCGCCTGCTGCGTGCCTTTATGTCTCTAGCCTGCCCCAACAACCCCCATCACCCCCCCATCCATCATGGCGCTCGTCTAGGTTGGCATGCACGTCGACGGCTGTAGCACACCATGGAGGACCGCGAGTCGAGTGTAGTGTCGTCGGTCGACTTCTACTCCTCCGACGCAATCCCAAACCCGCCCCCGGCCGCTTCCCAGGCTGATGGCGATGTCCTGCCGCCGCCGCTGGGAAAGCGCAAGGCGGATGATGATGTCGACGAGGAGCATCATGCTCCCGCTCACCACCACAACCACCACCGCAACCATGCCCAAGCCCATGCCCATGTTCGCAAGCGCAACCGCCGCGCCTCATCCCCTTCGCTGCTGCTGTCCGGCTCTCTGCCCGGCTGCGCAGGGCTGCCACCACAGCTGTGGCAGCACGTCTTCTCCTTTTGTTCGCTCGCAGATCTCGGTCGATTGATCCAGGTCAATCGATCTTTTCATTGCTATCTCACAGACGTGCGCAGCGCCTCGACTTCAAAGTCGGGCCCTGGCCGTCTGCATCTCCTAAAGTCTGAATCGTTGTGGGCCTCTGCCCGCAATGCACTATGTACAAAGCCTCCAAAGCCTCTTCCGGGCTTTACGGAGCTGCAGATGTGGCAGCTGGCCTGGTCCAAGAGATGCCAGTTCTGTAACAAGCTTGATGCTCACTCTCCAGGCGAGCGCATCTGGCAAAAGGGCCCTGGTCCTGCTGGTGTGCGCGTCATCTGGCCCTTTGCCATCAGGGCCTGCGGACCCTGTCTGCTCGAGCAGTGCCAGACGGTGAGTATAGAGTAGCTCCCGCCGCTCACAAGAGTCGCCACTGACTTCCCAGGACGCGAGCCTTCTCTTCTCGGCAGCCTCTGCTCTCCGCCCGGCCCTGCCCTTCGCCCTCCTCACAAACGACCAGCACTACGTGCCCGCTTACATGCTGCAGTCTGCGACCACGCCGGCTCACGTCGAGATTGCAAAGTACTACTACAAGAAGCACGTCGACGAAATCACCCTCGAGCTCAACGACGCCCTCAGCCGCGGCCCTGCAGCCGCCGAAGAGTGGTCCAAAGGCCTTGGCGCCAGAGGCAAAGAGCGCATCAAGGTCGCCGAAAATTGGGAGCGCTGGGAGGCGAGGCACCAGGCCATGGAAGAACATACAACAGGGCCGAAGCGCGCTGTCTCTGCAGCTCCCTCACATGCCGCCACGTCACACAACAACAATCCATCCAAATCGCCCCCACACCGAACACCCTCTCCTATAATTCACGCCCCGGTTCCAGCGAGTAAGTATGGTTCTGCTGTCTCATTTGCTGCCAGACATGGCAATGCGTCTCGACATCTTGACAGCACCCCTCCAGTTCGCAACCTAACAGCCGTAGCCCCATCATCCCAGCACGCCCAGGCGCGACCCCCCACAGCTCCACCACAGGCCTTTACTCCATCTGGTCAGAGAAATCTTCACGATGCAAACGAAGCCAAAGCGACTCGAAAGACCGACATAGAACGTCGGTGTCAGCTAATGGATCCTCCAATTGCTCCAAACATCTTGCGCCACATGGACTCCTTCAAGGCGGCTATCCAGATATCGCAGCCAATGAACGACTATGCATGGAGTGTGCTGCAACCCCGCTTGATAGCCCAACTTCCTGCGGCCCAACAAGCAGAGGCTGACCACGTGTCCCGCGCTGCTTCTCTACCCACCAAATCTTTGGACCGCCGCCATCCGGATGCAAACTCTAAAGAGGCCAAGGAAGCCATGGATCGGGACTGGGAAGAAACACAACGCCCTATCCGCGATAGACTTGATGCCATTGCCGAGGAATACATCAACAGGGTTTGGGATCACGGCCAATCTGTAACTCACGAGAACAGCCCAAAGTTTGCAGCCGACCTCCTTGCGCATGTTCGGCACACCTTCTACGCCGAGAAAGCAGAAAGCGATGCCACTCATCAGGCCCAAAAAGTACCGTCTTCTACTGACAATGCAGATTCACGACCGAAACTAGTCCTGGAAAACATGAAGTGGGTATACGACAACAAAATCAAGCCTCTGACAGAGCCCTTTCGCAAGGACATCTTCCTTTGCTATGGCAGTGGTTGCGAACACAATAACAAGTACTATGGCTTTGAAGGCGTCGTTCAACACTACGGAGCCAAACATACAGCCGCTTTTAGCTCCGGGAATGTCGTGGTTGCTTGGAGAGAAGCCGAATGGCCCGAGGATCCACCTTTCCATCCTGACCCTATGTCTGTCAAGAATCTACTCCTCACTCATCACCCTGCAGCAACCACAGGTGGGTATGGCGGCTACTACGGTGGATACTCCCGCGCGGGGACAGCGACCCCACATATGCCAACACACCTCCCGCAGGCAAGTCCCGGGCCTTACAACTATGGAAACCAATATGCAGGACCATTTGCCCCGCCACAGATGCCTCCTGGTTCGATGAATGGATTGGAGTATCCACAGCCGTATGCGACTCCGGTGGATGTTTACTCACATCAGGCAATGGGTCCCCCAGGATATGCTGCCCAGAACCCTTACTTGACGTCTCCAGCAATGATCAATAATGCCATAGCACCACCCCCTCCTCCTCCCAATATGCCACCGCCCGGTCACGGAATGCCTGAGACTGCTCTTAATGGTACAGAAGATACTGGTCAAAGCACTAGCTCGTTTGACAAGCAAGTAAGTACCGTCATCGAAATGACACAGGACATGTGGAAGCGTACCTCTGGTATCAAGGACATGCCGAATAGCCTTCGCGTCTATGTGCTGCTCCACCGTGTCATCTCAAAGTTTCATGTAGAGTTCAACCACGAACCAAACTTGAATCACTTCATCGATGCCCTTTCCAATCATGAGATTCCCAAAGCATTGAGAAATGCGCCAGGGCTCTCATGCAAAGCCTGCCAGATTGGTTCTGCACACCATCCCACAAGTTCTTTCTACTCCAAGTCCGAAGAAAGGATTACGTATACTGTGTTGAACCTGATGACACATTTCCGGAATCAGCACCAGCCATACCAGCAACCCATTCCTGGTCACGGAGTTCCAGTTGCAAGGCTCGATTGGAAAGAAAACATGATCGAGCTACCTAGTGAGCGTTTCATCTCCGGTTTGATTCACGCTCCAGGTATGGATGACGAGAAACTGCTCATGATTGCGACGGTTTTCCCCAGCCTGTTCCCAATGCCCCTGCCCAAGATTGACGTGATTAATAGCCATGGGTTGGCCTCGCCTGCTTCTTCTGGCCCCAAGGACACGGACAAGACGTCTGGTGCAATCCATGCTCCAGGCGAGTCAGGAGGACCTCCCACTTCTTCGATCATGACAGGTCCAGAAGCTAATACTTCGTTGCCTGCAAAACCACCGGACACTGGGTATGACCCTCATCGCTCTGCTCTCTCAAGCGAAGCCAATGACCCACCAAGCTCTATGAATACGAAAAGGTTCTACAGAGAGGGCTCACCTGCAGAGCGTAGGCAACACCATTATGCCGAACATCGCTACTACGTAGGTTACATGAGATACTTGACTAAATTTAACCGAAAACTGACTACTGTTTAGATGCCAAGAGATCATCTGGATGATGGGTATCACCGCCCACGTGAGTACGTAGAATATGCTCCTAGTCCTAGGATTATTCATGCGGGCCCTGCATACGACGAATACACTGGTCGTCGAACAGCATTCCGGGAGCAAGAGCGATACTACGGACCACCAGAAGATATTGTCTACGCACACCCGCGCGAAGGAAGTCATGGCAGCCGAGAGTACAGTGCGTATCCACGCCCGGTCAGGTACTACGAAGAAGACGATCATCGACCTGAGTACCGCTACATGAATGAGCGTCCACCGCAGGATGCTAGCCCACTACAAGGGCAATCTGCAGCAGACAAGTTCCTGGCAGAGAACGAGCCTCCCCAGCCTCCGCCACCACCGCAACCAGAAGGTGAACCCCCAGCACCGATCCATGAAAATGAGGGAGGATCTCGTTACACGCCTCCACCTCCAGACGCTCCTGTGCCAGCTGAAGCTAGCGCACCAATTCGTCCACTAGGCCCACCACATCCTAGAGCACCATCAACCGTTTCCAATAGCTCTAGATTTGATGACTATCAACCCAACGGACATCGTATGCCTATGGCTGGGCCGAGTGGCCCGCCGCCACGAAGACCTGGACCCCAACGTCGCCGAGATCGCCCCTATGAACACCGTGGGCACTCTCGCTACCAACGTTACATGAGCGTCGCTCGCGACGATCCATATGGCCGCGGGTCCAGCATGAGTCGGTCGCAGAGCAGGAGATACGAGGAGCAACGTCGTCGTCTTGATCAACAAGAGACGCCACAACCCAATGCTGAACCTGACTATGAGCCCGACTACTCAAGGGAGCACAGCATTGACCAGCCCGGGCAAGATGACGGTTATTATCCACATGTACGCCGCCATCCACGTGGTTATGTATCAGTGCAAGACCGTATGCATTCACACGGTTCTGCATACTCGCCACCACGATATCGATATGATGAACCCCGTGGGCCGCAATCAGTCTATGTCGACGAATACGGTCATCCCATCCACGAGTATGAAGTGATTCGCGTGCGAGGCGACCCCAGACAACGTGGGCCATACATGCCCCATCAACCTCGTTACGAACCAGAACCTTATGGATACGTTCCAGTACAATACGAAAGACCACCACCACACAGGTACAACAGCCGCCCTGAAGAGTATGTGTACTACGAGGAGAGAGAGAGGTCTGTGCCGAGGAGGCCAGTACCAGAGGCCGAGAGTGACGTGTACGAGCCTCAACCGACCGAAATCAAGGTTGAAAGCGTGCCGGTTCCTATGCCACCGGAAGCGCCCTAATCACCCCCCAGCACGGGGTGCTTGGAGAATGTAATGATGGGGTTTAATCTCTTTGTATCTTTTGTGATATCTTGGGATTTTGCATAGCCAAGGTGTCGTGGGCTTCTTCAGGTTATGATGTATTGTTTGCTTGGGAGGTTTCGTCTGAATGTTCTTTTTTATTTCTAATTCTAGCTGCAACTGCATGAAGAAATACGGATTAATTGGCTTCAATTGGCTTTGCCACCATTTCGACCATCCTGACCAATCTGTACTGAGATGTCGTGAGACTTGATTTGAGGCAGCATACTAAGCTCGTCGTATGATTTGATGAGTACTGACATTTCTTTCGCTGTGGTGACAGCAGCTGAGCCGCATGACAACTTGAACGTGTACCTTGGAAACATATGAGCATTGGGTTTGGAGTAGTTCACAGAAAATACTTTGAGTGGAACAGCTTTTTTGGTTGGCATATCTGCCTTCTAAGGGTATCAAAAAGGGAAATCTTTTTTGTAGTGGAGAATGGGAGAGATGGCCAGGCTAGGCTGTCGACTCAACAACTGGCTCTGCCGAGGACTTTTCTTCTACACCTTGAGCAGCGGCATCGATCTTGTTTTGAGTAAGACGCTGGACAATCGTTAGCAAACAGTTCCAACCAGGAGGAGGGGGTCTGCAGTAAACATACCAGCAAGTTCCTCAGCAGAACCGCAATCGTAACCTTTCCAATCGCCGGTACATAAATCGACGCCTTCTCCTTGACCTCTGGCGTGAAATTCCTCTCACTCGAGAAATTAATGCACGCAGCACCATCACGCATCAACTCAAGCGGTACCTTGTACTTGTCACCAGGAACACCGCTAATCACGACATCGCTGAGTGGCAGGCAATCCTTCAGCGTCCAACCGGGTTTCTCGACAACTTCGTGCCGCCTCTTGCGCAACCCCACACCGCGCGTGAATTCCTGCACGTCGTTGATATCAACACTATACACCTGTGCGCCATCATTCGCCAGCAGCGCGGCCAATGGCCTACCCACAACCTCACTCCGATTAATCACCGTAATCGTGCGTCCATGAAGCCTATTCCCATACGGCAGAATCGTATTGTAGATCCTGAGATACTCTAGTATCTTGATCACCGCCAGCGGAGTACACGGCAAGATGCTCTTCTTGGTATTGAGGGGCTCGTCGAGGAAGCGAATGTTTTGGTACATGTTGAAGATGTAGCGGTGCGAGAGGCCTTCGACGTCTTTGTCGATGGAGACGATTTGCTGGAGGTACTGGTCTTGGCGCGAGCCGAAGATGGGGTAGTAGACTATTATGCCGTCGACGGAGGGGTCGGCGTTGGCGTCGAGGAGGGCGTCTTCGAGGTTGTCGCGGGGGGTTTCGCGCAGTTCGAAGGAGAAGCCACTGTTTTAGGAGAGGTGGACATGGTTAGTTATTGAGATTCTTCCTTTCTCACATTCTTTTTTTTGCTTTTTGGAGGTCGCATGGGGATGTTCTTTCTGGGAAAGTGCCTGGCAAGATTTATGGTTTGCTCACTTTTCAACACAGGTTTTGCCCGTCCATTCTGCGTAGACTCGTGCAGCGGGATCGGCACTGGACAGGAATCCGACGAGGAGGGGCTTGCGTCCTATTTTGGCCAAGCCGTCGCGCACCTCGTCAAGAAGGCCTTTGGCGATGTTGTTGGCGAGAACGACCTTGCAGTTGGGTTTGTCGTCGGCCATGGTGGGGTAAAATCTTTTTGGGGAAGGGATGGGGGTTGGAAATCTGGGGGGAAAGTGAAAGGCTGGGTCTCCCAGGAAAACGATATTTATACAACGGCCACTATTTTTGCTAGAACAGCGGCACTTCTTGTTTTACTATTTTTAAAAAATGCTCAATTTACTCACACTTGCCGAATGGTCCTCCTACAACTTTTTTTTCTGCGCGCGGGCGGGCGTGTGCCCCACCGTCCGATACCGGCCAATCAGCAGCTCCGCAACTCCGTAACGTCATGGCGGGAGTGTGTGTGGGTTTGGTTCGCGACTTGTTAAACCACACTTTTTGATATCCGCCTCTCAACTGCCAGAACGTGAGAATGTCGGATATTCAGAAGTATCTGCTAGATTTTGACAAGAATAAGAAGGAGGCGACTGCGACTGCTCAGGCGAGCGCCACGCGTATGTATGAGGCTTTCTGGAGGGGCACCGGGGATGTGGGGGACATGGCGTGCTGATAGTGGACAGGACTCAAGAATGGCGAATTGAAGCTGATCAGCTTGGTCACTGACCTTGGAGAGTATTTGAACAGTGAAGATGGCGCGACACGGTCTAAAAGTAAGGAATCATTGGGGTTTTGGTATGGATAGTGCTAATCTTCTACAGCCATGTCGTATCTTGCAGAGGTACTCGCTGCCACGCCACAAAAGGTTCTGTCCCTGCAGCAACGTACGTAAATCAAAACTATTCTTCCGATGAGATATCCGAGCATCCACACATGCATGAGCCGTCGCGACTCCTACAATCTTGTTTGAACCAGATCGGGATATTGACGGCATATCGGCATGAAGATGAGGCGATACATCAGTCGGAAATATGGAGCTAATTTTGGTCCTCAGGAAACCTGCTATGCGACTTTACCCTTTCCCGGACCGAAGACAACGAAGGCCTAGGATCATGCGCAAAGGCGTTGATGGCACTCGAGGAGCTCGGAAAGTGGGATGACCAACGGGTCGTCGCCATAGTCGAGGCACTCCTTTCCAACACTCACCCGTTACGCCAGTACAAACAGCAAAGTGAGCGGTATCCGGTATTACAACTCATAAATACCCTCATGGCAAAGTACCGCGAGGTTCTTCGAGCCCATCACGATGCGACACCTGACTTCATGGCACGCTTCATATCATACTTTGACGGAGAGAAAGATCCTCGGAACTTGATGGTTGTGTTTTCGATATTGAGGGTCCCGATGACTGAGTGGAGCATTGGTGGTGATGCCCAAGATCTGTTCGATGCTGTATTCAACTACTTTCCTATTACATTCAGACCACCTCCCGACGACCCATACGGAATTACCGCTCAGGACCTCAAGGACCGACTACGGGACTGCATTTCGTCTACGGCCGATTTTGCCCCGTATGCTTTCCCTGCGCTTCTAGACAAGCTCGACTCTACATCTATGAACACAAAGCGAGATGTGCTAACGACGATCACTGCCTGTGTGAAAGAATACGGACCAAAAACAGTGTCGTTATATGCCGTGACGTTGTGGGACGCTCTAAAGTTTGAAGTACTCAATGTGCAAGAGGAGGACCTCGCCCAAGAGGCGCTCAAAGCCCTGGCTGCAATCGCAAAAACCCTATCACAGGGTACCCCAGGATCGCTGAACGCATATCTCAAACCGGTCATCAAGGAATGCAATGAACACCTTGAGGATGCCCCAACAAAGCAATCACAAGCGTCCGCACGGTTCCTACAAAGCATTGCCAACGTATCTCCAGAAGTCACTAGTATTCTCCTCGCGGGTGTTCTGCCCAACCTCTTCCTCTTGTTTCAAACAGCAGACACAATGGCCAAGCGTCGAGGTTTGCTGGAAGTTCTTGTCCAATTGGTAAAAGCCAACATTGATGTTTACGGTGACTGGAGGAACATAGGTTCTGGCGGCGAACAAGCTGGCAAGAATTCGCTGGCCGAGTTCCGAGACCAAGCCCTGGAGGTGATGCTGAATGGACTCGAAACAGCGCCTGTCAAGGAGGTATCTTTCCGATTAGTGTGTCTTGATGGTCTAGTCCAATTATCCAAAACCCGTGGACTTTTGAGCGATGAGGATGTTGGCAGGATTATTCAATTGCTTCACACAATTGTTGTTCACGAAGAATCATATGGGAAAGATGAGGTCAAGGAGGCGGCAATTAACGGAATCGTCGAAATCGCACATCAGAAGCCACAGGTTGTTGTTGATAAGGCCTTCCCAGCTTTCCTGGCCCAGCTACCGGATACAGACACAGGCGGACCTCAGAGCTACTCTACCGTGCTCGAAGCTTTTGCTAAGCTCGCTAGCGAAGAGCAGGTTTTTGATACCGTCATAATACGCCTCAAGAACAAATTCAGCGCAGCGGTGCAGCAGGGTGCCACTTCCACATACATTGTTGCACTCCTCTCGGCAATCTTGTATGCGCTAAAGAAGGGCGAACGCAAACTGTCTGAAGGCTCGGGAAGCTCGACATACTACAAGGACATTGCACTACCATTGATCCAGCGCGTATCGAGCTCAGATGAATCACATCCGGCAGCGTTCAACGACGAGACAACCGTAGATCTTGTTGGTCGTACCTGCAACCTGATCATCAGACACCTACCCACCGATCAGCAGAACGCTATTGCTGCAGAACTATACACACTGTTCCGTGGCACACCACAAGCCGAACTTCCACCTTTCAATGCCGGTTCAAGCGTGGAGGCCGACAGGACTATGATCGTTTCGACACATCTCCTCGCGTCTTTCCGAAAAGATACAACTCTTCCCTGCGAACTGCAACTACTTGTTTCTTCTCTCGCAGAATACGTCCAGAAACCCACACTATCTGTCCCAGTTCGATCAGCATCGCTCCGCCAGATGTCACTAATCATCAACAAGTACTACACTTCGGCTGCACTCAAAACATGCATGGATTCTCTTATCGCAAATTTCGATCTTTTGAACCCGGAGAAGCTAGACCCGCCACGGATACGCATAATATTTGCTTGTCTGAAGGGAATTGTACTACGCAGCAGTCCAGCGTTGAATACACTGTACCCAACACTGCTATCCTTATTGTCACACCCCAAGTACGGCAGCACAGTAGCCCAAGGCTTCACCACACTGCTGCAGCCCGATGATCTCTTGACCAAAGAGAACCACTGCCAGATTGTTGGCCTACACAAGCACAAGAGCTTCGCATTGCTAGTACCAAACATCACATCCACTTTCCGCGACGCAGACGCTCAAACGAAGCCAAACTACCTGATTGCACTCAGCGGAGCGCTACGATGGATGCCATTTGACATTGTAGTCGAGGAAGTCGGTCAACTCGTTACACTGCTCCTTCAATCCCTCGACCTCAAAGGCGTTGATGCTGTTAAAGAGGCAGCAATCGGTACGCTTACCAGCACACTTGCCGAGAAGCCAGCTGTACTTGAAGAGCACGCCGGCGCACTCATCTCGCGTCTTCTTGCCAACGCCATTGTGGTCAAGGATGGCAAGACGGGCCCGCCTCCGCCGCCAAGTGTGCGGGTAGCGGCGCTCAAGTGTTTGTTTCTTGCAGCGGATAAGTTCAAGGAGGATACGTTGGTCAAGTATAGGAGGGAGGTGGTCAGAAGATTGATTGCTGCGCTGGACGATGGCAAGAGAGAGGTTAGAACTGCAGCGGTGAAATGTAGGGCGAAGTGGCTGCTGGCTGATGAGCCAGATGATGAGTAGAATTATGCTGCAGCACTGATAAAGTATTTCTTTTTTCCGTATCAATTCACGACATTTTAACGACTGATGATGAGAACGCGCACGATTTTTGATTAAGCTTTTCATTTTGTTTTTTCTTTCCCAGGGACGCAAGTTGTCCATATGACTCAAATGGTATAAGTCTCGCTCAACATTTTTTCTCAACGCCAGGAATGGATTCCGATAAACGCCGCCCATGCAGTAAGTACGTCCTTGTCACACTTCATACTCTCATCTTCTTGGGTGTCTTCTCTTCCACCTCATCGTCGTCTTCGCTTGCGCTGTCCTCAACACCAGCCTCCTCATCGTCGTCATCCTCATTACGACCACGCTTGAGACCCTTCATCTTCCTTGTCTGCAGGTTGCCAAAGTCCTGCTTGCCGACGTGGACCTTGGCCGTCTTGTCACCCATGGCGTTCATATCAATGTTCTTCTTAGTGCGAGCCTCTGCCCCCTTGGGTGTCTTCATGGCCTGCTTGAGCATATCTGGGTCAGGGAACATTTCGCGACCGAGGGTAAAGTCCATGCGTGGGCCCATTTCCTCGACTTCGATACGCGGCAGCTTCTGGCCGGAGCGCTTTGTGCGCAGGAGGTAGAAGCGCAGGTGGATGGGTGGGTTAGGAAGCTCGTCGGTGGGTTCTTCGGCCGAGATGGAGACGAGGTATTGCAGGCCCTCGACGTCGATTTCGTTTGTGTCTTGGCCCTTGAAGAAATCCAGAAACAGACTCTTGGCTAGAGTGTACTTTGTCTGGTTGGGGTCTTCGAAGACGGTGCCGTGGAAGCTAATCATGGGCTTGAGACCAATCGAGGGCTTCTTGTTCTTGAATTGCTGCAGAGTGCGGAATGTTTCTGGGTTGATGTAGAGCTCGAGCATGTCAAGCATCTTGTATGAGAAGGTGCGGGCGAGTGTCAGGCAGTGTGGGCGCTTCTTCGAGTGCAGCGACAGGACGAGGAGCGAGGTATCGTTCTTCTGAGAGAAGAACTCGAGCGAAGAGGCATCGTCGAAGGGGTGAATGTCGTTCTTCTTGGTGAAGCGCTCGGAAAAGGGACGCTTGATAGTGGTAAGATCGGCGACGGCAAGCTTGAGGATCTGCGACGTCTTTTGGCCCGAGACAAAGAGCGTAGTCTTTGGGTTCTCGTGCTGTTGCGGTTCGCGCTTTTTCATCTCGCGCTTGGCGCGGGCATTCTTGGGCTTGCTGGGGGAAATTGTTAGAGATTGTTAATCATTGAGAATCTGCGACTCATTCTACATACGCTTGCTTGAGCATATTGGCGGTGTTGTTTGTTCTGCTGCTTGCGGTGCTCGAGATGCTGGTCTGGAAATCTTGGCGGAAACAAAAAGTTCCAACGATAACCGGGACCGGAGAAACAGTTGGGCCGGTTGATCTGATAACGCCGCCCATAGTGGGGTGCGCAGTTCCGCAGTTCGGCGCCCCTCTGACGTGATTTCCTCTGCAGGGCGGCGACTAAATATTAATCAGATTGGCCTCGCAGTTATAGACTTGCTCTGTACTATACATCCTGCACTAGATTCACGGTCTACTCTGATCAATCCACACTTACTTTACAATGGCTACCCTGCAAGAGATCGCCGACGAGACGGCGTTCCAGTCGACCATTTCCGCCCTCCCCGCCTCCACACTCGCCGTCATCTACTTCAACGCACCATGGGCAAAGCCATGCGAGCAAATGTCAGTTGTCCTCAAGACACTCGCCAGTACATACCCGGCCGACGCACCGATATCCTTTTTCTCTATCAACGCCGAAGAGCTGCCAGAAGTCTCCGAGACCTACGATGTCACCGCAGTCCCATACATCGTCTTACAGAAGGATGGCAAAGTTTTAGAGACCGTCTCGGGCTCTGATGCCTCAAAAGTACGAGCAGCAGTCGAAAAGCATGCTGGCGCCGGCAGCGGCCAGTCAAGTCTACCTCCCGCGCAATCCGTCACACGACCCCAAGAGAATGGCGATAGTGCAGGCAAGAATCTTGCGGGCTACACACCAAGCGCACAGGATCCCAAGACTGCGCCCGAGCAGACTGCAGGCGAGCAACAGACAAGCAAGGAGGAGCTGCATCAAAGACTATCAGAGCTCGTCAAGGCTGCACCCGTCATGCTGTTCATGAAGGGCACACCAAGCGCACCCCAATGCGGCTTCAGCCGACAAACGGTTAGCATTCTTCGCGAGAAGGGAATTCGCTATGGATTCTTCAACATATTGGCCGATGACGAGGTCAGGCAGGGTTTGAAGGAGTTTGCCGATTGGCCTACGTTCCCTCAGTTGTGGGCTGATGGTGAGCTTGTTGGTGGTCTCGATATTGTAAGTCTCTTGCCTCTATTATGATAAGTTACAATACTCACTCAAAATTTACAGGTCAAAGAGGAGTTCGAGAACGACCCCCAGTTTCTCTCCCAGTATGCTGCCAATGCATCCAAAACAGCTGCCTAGACCGTAACATAAAGAGGTGAAACTAAGATAACAAGGTTTGATGAACTGCTCACTTTTAGGGGTAGGGCTATTTCAAGGGACATATTTGGAAGTATAGGAGACTATTAGTCCCCTGAATATGAATGGGCCTGAGTGCTAGGATTGATATTGAACGATCGACGGCATGTATTGATAATTGAAGGGATGGTTAAGGAGTGTAAGGGTTGATTGTTTGGCCAGAACAAAATACATACAGTTCCGATATTAAGCCTAATTTAGCAACAGTCAACTGGATGCGATAACAAACGATGCTGGGATCATCACATGACGACTCGGTCTTGCCCAGAAGGTGTATGCTCATATTGAGTGGCAATCCCAGGATTCATTGATATGCTTCTGCGGTGCGGGTTATAGAGATGCCTACACCGCAGCTTACATAGGTACTAATGTCAATCGCTCAGTCACGAGAACCATCCCGTAGCGAGGCAATTCTACACTTTGAACCTTCGGCAAGTCGATTTTGCAAGTTTATATACCTGTAGTTGTGAGGTAACGAAGTAAGCTAATTGGTTAGTGAAAAATACAAGTATCCGTGCAATTGCCCTGGACTTGCATCCAAACATACCTAGCATTCAATCAATACCTGAGAAATTGCTGCCAAAGATCTAGCTGCAGCCAGTATCCACTTTGACACTCCCTTTGAAGCCTACTAATGCCACCTTCCATTGGGCGCAGGACGCTTCTGCTTGACGCCCATATCTTTAGCGAGCTGTACAAACCATTCCTCCTCATAGCCTTTGAAATAGATGAGCGTAGTGAAGACCTCACGGAATACTGCGTCCATTGGCCTCGAGTAGTCAACGACAATGTCGACTTTTTCATTACACAGTGCGAGTAAACCATACACCCTATCACGCTGGTCCTCGCATTTCCGCATATAAAAGTTACGTAATAGGGCTATTAACTGTAACTCAGGTAGTGAGAAAGTCCTACCATTGAATCTGGCGCGTTGCGCATCAAAAAGGTTACGCACTGGCTCCGGAATCGTAATAAAATAATCTTGACGATATCTGAATGCCGCCGGTAAGAAAGAAATTGATCTCAATCTTTCGATAGCGGCCGGCGTGACGGCACATGAACCGCAAGCAAGCACTATGTCTCTGGCAAGTACAAATTCCTGGACGACCCAGAGCCGATTCCAATATGCTTGTTGCAGTAGGTTTTCCACGATGTGGCGATCTTTGAGAAGTCGATCGAGATAATCTCGGTGCTCATTGTGCAGAGCAGACCAAAGACCGACCCGAGGAAGATTTGGAGGAGAATTTGGAGGAATATTTTCAGCGGGAAGCTCATCCGCGAACCACGTATCCGCTATGAGACGCATTACCCTGCCACTCTGCTCGCCACCGCGACCTAGCCACACAATAACCCGCTGCGCTTGTTTATATATCTCAGCCATGCGTCGAACTTGGTGCGACTTCTCTTTCTCGGATGCCTGGTTGATGCAAAGCTGATCTATCCAGAGAAACTTGGGATGCGGTAGAGGACAGTCATGCTTATCGAGGAGAGTGATGCCAGTTCGCATCCGGTCAAGGAAGTCTGCCAGATTCTCCCGAATCTCGAATGGTCTTTGATTCAAGGTGATGATACGCGTTGGAAGTGGAGGTCCCCATGTGTAAGACAAAGCCTCGTATGGAGGGCATTCATTGAGGTCAAATTCGTGCAGAGTGTAGCTAGGCTGACTGCCGGGTTCGGCTGAAAAGCGGAGTAGACGTATGTGGTTGCTATTGGCATCAAGTGGCTCGTATTGAAAATGATCCATCGTAGTGTAGCGGAGAGCGCAATGTCGTTCTGCTAATCATCTTATTAAATTTCTGACCAAATGTAAAACCCTAGATATAAATGTGGTGGTGGCTGTGCTTCCTGGTACGCAATAGAAGGCTCCAGTGCATCAGGCATGGAGGCGGCAACCCTATTGTAATTTTGCTATCTATTCGTACGACAGCAGTCTACTACAGGCTTAAGAAACGATTGACAGAAGACTGTAGGTCAGCCTAGCACGCTGAAAGGACTGGAGTCGGTTTTTACCCAAGTACCTGCGCTATGTCTCATGACGGGGGGCGTACTATCGTAATCGAGGCATAGACGTTACTAGTGCAATTCCGAGCCGAAGCGGTTCCCCGCCCTATCTAACAAGCTTCCTTGTCACTGCTGCCTTTGTCGCTATACCTTTTCCCATCATTCCTCGTCAAGCTCGGACAATATGCCGGACTCTACAATACTCCTAGTCTACATCCATACAAAACTGCCTGTATGTCTAACAGCATAAGTGTCATGCAGAGAAGACATTAGGCCTACCCTGGCCCCCAGCTCCGGACTCCGAGCCCACCGCAAGTCGCTGCCCTCAATACTTTGATGCCTATTCTCAACGCTGTTGCGGCAGGCTAAAAATGAGCCGCATATTCCCCCGAGCGGCCTTCCCCCGTAGCCGTAAGACGTACATGTGATGCTTGCGATTCGCCATAATTGCCCTCTACAGTGAGAACTTGCACTCTCCAGCCCTCTTTCCCCTCCCCAAAAGTCCACCTCTTCAGCATCTCCCCAAGCATGCTCCCCTCACAATCCGCCTCCAAAATACCCCTGGTAAAGCCCGACGACCGCTCCTTCCCACGCATCCTCTGTCTCCACGGCGGCGGCGTCAACGCCGCAATCTTCGAAGCGCAAGCACGATGCCTAATCCGCCATCTGCAACACTCGTTCCGCCTCGTATGGGTTGACGCGCCCTTCTTCTGCGACCCACACCCCGATGTCGTTGACGTGTACAGCAGCTACGCGCCCTTCCGGCGGTGGCTGCGCTGGCTACCCTCGCACCCTGAGCTCGACGAGGAAACGTGCATCGAGGAGATTGGCTACGCCATGCGCACCGCCATGCAAAACGACGACGCTGCGGGCGGAACGGGCGAGTGGGTTGGCCTCATGGGCTTCAGCCAGGGCGCAAAACTATCCGCGAGTTTGCTGCTTGAGCAACAGGCCCGCGAGAATGAAGCGAAAAAGCGTGGTCCTGCGGCGCCGATAACACCGGGGCTCACCGGTTTCCCAGATATCAAGTGGCGCTTTGGCGTGTTGCTGGCGGGAAGGGCGCCGCTGTCCAATCTCAATCCCAGGCTACTAACTAGCAAGACGCTGGTGAGTGCGGGCAAGATATCAGAGGGGTTTGAGTTTTGCAAGGAGGTGGATGAGGAGGCGACGCTTAGGGTGCCGACGCTGCATGTCCATGGTTTGGCGGATCCAGGGCTGGAATTGCATAGAAAGTTGCTGAATGAGTATTGTGAGAAGGGGACTGCGACGCTGGTGGAGTGGCCGGGCGCGCATCGGGTTCCGATCAAGAGTGTGGATGTTGATCCCGTGGTTGCTGCCATCTATGATTTAGCTGAGAAGGTGGGGGTGAGTGTGCTGAGGACTGTGTGAGAGTGCTGGGATGGGGAAGAGAAGGTGCACACATGATGATTTCTTGTTTACATACCATTATTGCTTGTTTGCTTTGTGGATTATGGAAGGCGCATCTTGCAACCAAATTAGGAGATACCATAGATCAACTGTCTTTATCCTCTTGTCTTTTCTGTTAATCTCGGATTAAACTTTTCAGTTTCACCAATTCCGCATTTCTCGTCTTTCCTCCAATGAGATAATCCCAGCGTGTTCATCGTCGCCACGTTTTCTTACCGTCAGAAACTTATGATACAATACCTCAATTCCCAAATAAAGACGTTTCATTCTTTACTTGTCCACACACCCTCCTCTGAATTATCTCAAACCCTATCCATCACCCCCTGCAATACAACCCACATACACAAGCTCCAGGCTCATCTATCGAGCCAATTGCCTCGAACCGATAAGCAACCCACTATTCCACATACATTACATACGCAAGACCCTGGATTATCACGGAAGAGAAAGGGAAACAAAACCGGGTATGCACCTCACCCACAACCGGTCCGGTCCGGTTCGACGCCAATAAGGGCAACCGTGCCGGTGTGAACTCAGAATGTTGTTTTAGAGGTTGGAGTTACTTCCAGATTGCAGGGATAGGACATGTATGGCTAGTTTGCCTGTTGAAGGTCGTAGGTTCTAGGTAGGTTTAGAAGGGCGTGATTGGTGGTGTAAACGCATCGATGTCGGGGTCGAGAACTATGTGGATTGATACCGCAAGCAGCTTAGGAGAGTGTTGGTTATTGCACTCAGCTTCTGGTATTTGTAAAGGTATGATGAGGTTTGGATGCTGGATTGGTAGATGTAAGATTGGAGAACATATTTACGACCAATCTAGGCTCATTTATAGGCAACACCGTAGTTGATATAAGTCTATTTTCCCTAGAGCTGAATCTGGATCAGTCAAGGCATTTCAAGTCGAAATAAGAGTCGGTTAACCGTATCATCTGATCAGTTGGGTCTATCGTTTTGACGCTTCTCCTCCTGTGGCGTTGAACTAGACTAGATACTAGACGAAAGGGTGTGAAGAAGTAAGTGCTAAATGACAGCAAGCCGAACTCAATGCAAAAGGGCAGCGCTTAGAAGCGGAGAGTAATGGTATCCGTGCATGGTGTAGACCGATGGTCGATATGATCCAGAAACCTTTTCAATGTAATACGGACGGATATAGATCCGATGATATGGTGTGATGTATGAACCCAAAATAATAGTTTTCGTGTATCCACATTGCTGCCAACTACAAGCGACATGCTAGGCTGGTGTCAAATAAGACAGGAAGAAAGTCCCGCAATCACAACGTCGAGATGTTTTATTTCCACTGAGAAGCGAGAGATAAAAATTCAGAGTTGTCAGCACTTCCCTGCTATCGGATCTGCAATATATGTTTGTTGGCATGTTTTGTAAGCTAAAGGAGGGGTCATCAGGCAGGGGAGGGCCTTCGTTGGCTAGTCATGGCGAGAGAAGAGGGCACGAGTGCATACTGTCAGTTTTCTGTAGGTAATGGCATGCAAATCAGCTGGGCGGGTGACGAGTACGATGTACGTTAGGTGGTCGCCTTCCCAAGGGGAACCGGGAATAGACGAGGCGTGGGCGAATCGGAGTCGAGAGCGTTCCGTATCGAGAAAGTAGCCGCCGCATATCTTCGGCTCCGAACGCTTCTTGAGATGCCGCACACGCCCTATCAAACTTTGGACATAGCCTGCGATGCCGCGGACACGTTTATACCCGCTACAGCGCCTTCTCAGTACGTGGTCCCATCCACGTCCGGTCCAATTGACCTCACCCATCACCAAGGAACAAGCCTGACTGCGAATACTCGAGCCGTCGCCGCATCCATTGCCCGCCCCGCGAACCCCACCCTTCGCAACCTGCATACAACAGCACGACTCGCGATGGGCGAATTCGACCAGTATTCTGCCATGGGCAACAAGACTGTGCCCAATGACATGCCCTCCGACGGCACAGCCTGGGGTAGTGAAAAGAACCCGGCCGCCTTTGACTTGCGTTCGGATGTGCACACAACCCCTACCATGTCCATGCTCAAGGCCATTCAGCAATGCACCCTGCTTGACGATGTCTTCATGGAGGATCCTACTACACTCTCCCTTGAGCGCTTCATTGCAGACTTGAGCGGAAAAGAAGACGGGCTTCTTGTTCTCTCGGGTACCATGGGCAACCAGGTTGCATTCCGGGCACACCTCACCTGTCCTCCACATGCCGTAATTGTCGACCGGAGAGGGCACATTGTCAACTACGAGGCAGGAGGTGTAGCTACCTTGTCTCAGGCCATGGTCCAGTCTCTCGACGCGACAAATGGCACATACCTCACCTTGGAAGATATTCAAAAGTACGCGACACTCTCAGATGACGTGCACTCTTGCCCAACTCGCATGATTTCTCTTGAAAACACACTAAACGGTGCCATCATGCCTCTTTCTGAAGTCAAGCGGATATCTGCTTGGGCACGCCAACATGGTATCATCATGCACCTGGACGGTGCGCGTTTGTGGGAGGCTGTCGCTGCAGGCGCCGGTTCCCTAAAGGAATATTGTGCCGAGTTCGACAGTATCAGTCTGTGCATCAGCAAAGGCCTAGGTGCGCCCATTGGAAGTCTCCTTGTTGGTACGAAAGCTTTCATCAAACGCAGCCGCTGGATCCGCAAGTCAATTGGCGGAGGGCTGCGCCAGGCTGGTGTGGTCGCTGCTCCGATGCGCGTCGCCATTGAAGAAACGTTCCTGGGCGGAAAACTCGCACAATCTCACAAGAACGCGAAGAGGGTTGCGAAGATATGGACCGACCTAGGAGGCAAGCTGCAATACCCGGTAGACACAAACATGGTCTGGTTGGACCTGGCGGCCCACCAGATCGAAAGCAACAGCTTCATCGAGCTAGCGGAAAAGTACGGAGTAAGGACAGGTAGTGGCAGGCTGGTTGTACATTACCAGATTGGAGAAGAGGCGATCGAAGCGCTGCAAAAGGTCTTTACTGAGTTGTTGACCGGCAAAGAGTCGACCGGCAAGCTTGCCGATGCCCCACATGACCCGGAGGATTTGAAGCTGAAGGGCAAAGGCGTGGAGTAGACGGCTTTCCAGCCACAATTATTTATTAGTCATCGAATTCATAGACCAATTAGATCATTGTACTCAGCCACGCAGCCACACCGATCTCCAGTACCTGCATGGATAGCTGCCGCGTTATACCGAAATCGCCCAGAATTTGGGTACCGCCAACGCTTCCAAGACTACGCTATTACGTTCGACTTTGAACCCCAGACGTAGTAGACACAGCCGATCTGACGTCAACTGAAAGCTCGTCATACAACAGCAGAACATGACACGGCCAAGATGGCAGCCGAAACATGGTACATGAGGCTCTTGGAAAAGCCACGGCGTCTCTTATCAGCCAGAAAAACTAGTTCTTTGAAATTGTTAAACTCTTTTTGATCATGTACAAGCCTATACGCGTCATAGCCTCTGTGCAAAAAAGTTCTCGTCAGACGTCATGCCTTCCCAAAAGCTTTGCTAGACCGCAGATGCGGACGACTATTTCTTCAAACCCAGGTCCTTCACGATCCCTGCTCTCTTTTTCACCACATCAGTTTTCCACATATACCGCCAAAATGGTACCACCAATAGCACAGAACCGCAAACTTCTCTCCAACCACCCGGATAAGGTCCGCATGCTTGTTCTCGAGACCGATGAGACACACCCCGATACTCAGAAAGAGACTGGTTCCTTTGGCGTTGTACTGGGCGAACTCCTTAAGAAGGCTGGAGACGAGCATGATCCGCAGCTGGGCATTGAGACGGCTATGCAATATGTTGTTGAGCCAGAGGGTGGCAAAATACCGACACTAGAAGAGATTCAAGACGATGTACACGCTATTCTAATCACCGGTAGTTGTTGGGATGCACATGGCGATGACCCATGGATCTTGAAACTAATGCAGTTCATCAGAGGTGCGTAAATCGGGTTTCCGGGTTGTCAAGCGAAATAATGGCTGACAACAACACTAGATGTCTGGCAAAATCGCCCCGATATCCGCTTTACAGGAATCTGCTTTGGCCACCAGATTCTCTGCCGTACACTAGGTTCTACCGTGAAACCAGAAAAGAACGGCGAGTGGGAGCTGTCACACCACCCGATCGAGCTTATGAAAATCGGCCGCGAACTCTTCAATCTGCCAGAGACCGAGACCAAGATCCACCTTCAACAGATGCACTTGGACCATGTTGTTAATCCCCCTTCACCGGAAACAACAGACTTGCTGCCAAAGGGTACTAAAGTACATGTTTGGGGCATGAGCGATCACACTGGCGTTCAGGGCGTGTATATTCAAAAGAGATTATTCACCACGCAGGGACATATGGAGTTTGATGAGAAACTTGTCAAGAGACAATTGGAGATGAGGGTAGACAGCGGCAGTGTGAGCAAGGAGGAGGCTGATGAGGCTGCTGAAAGAGCTGACTGGATGCATGATGGATTGGTTGTAGCCAAGGCTGTGCTGAGGTTCTTCCACGGCGATGACGATCAATACGATTAACTCAAAGAGCTTGCAACGGTTATGGGGATTGGCTATAAAAGAATCTACGAAGGCATGATAGTAGCGTTTATGGTTGGAAACTACAACGAGCAGTGGCCATGTGGATCTCGCATACTAGTATGGGAGGAGCTCTGTTCTTTTGGCATAGTCATTGAATCTTTAGCGCTGCACTTTTCCTTCAATTTACTTGTTTGTGTTGCGGCAGTCTTTTCTCTTCGTCCCCAGCACTATTTATGTATCCTTTGCCCAAGGCACTAGGGGATATATAAAACTCCGAGGCCATATGAACATTTCGCAAACGCGCCGATACCGCACCGCACTCCATCCACTAACCATCGCCCCGGTATAACTAGTACTCCGAGTCCAAAAGCTTGTCTCGACCCTCCAACCCATCATTCTGAACGATATCCAAACACCGGGAATAATATCTCTTCTTCGGCATACTATACTCCGACCCAGGTCGGAAATAGCACTTCGCACTTTGCTATCTCCGGAAGCTGGCTTCCGTCATTGAAGCTACCCAGTGGGGGCCCACCTGACTCGGTCCACCCTCAATCGATCTAAGCCTAGAACTAACTACCCTACACCGGTGTAACTGCAAAGCAACCGGGTTAGCGTACAGCAATCGACAATAGAGAGAATCGTCACTACCAGAACGGCCAAAACCGGCAACCTGCCGTATGTAATAGACAAGATGCAGGCTAGATAGCGAACGCAATCGGTATCGGGCTGGGGGATGAAAGGGAAGCAACGGTCCTGGCAGTTTGCAGCGAACCATGGGCTTTGTTCCTCCACTTCCCTAGCGCCGCCGTTCGATAGGGCGGTTAGCACATGCATCATGTGCGGAGTGTGATCCACATTATGTAGCCCAGCATGCGTGTCCAACCCTCTGATTCTCTCCCTCTCCCTCTCCCTCTTTCCCTGCATCTCAATGACTGTGTTTTGCCTGTCTCGCCAGTGTTACGTCTGACACGCTTGCGCTATACTTGACTACTTCCTTCTGCGAACTTGAAGATACAATCGTTGTAGTTTGTTTCTGGCTGGAGAAAAGATAAAGGGCGTTGAGATGGCTGCTTCGAAGAGCTCGGCCGAGGATGTCAGTGTAGATGCTGCGACGGAGAAGGAGATGGATGTTGAAGATAATGTGACGTCGGAAGTGATACAGCAACGGGTGTCAGAGGAGCCGTATTCGGTGTTTAGCGAGGGAATGAGGATATGGATTATTGCTCTTGTTTCCGTATCCGCTTTGATATCGCCGTTTGGTGCCGCCATGGTGTTTCCCGCACTCAACTTACTGGCCGACGTGTTGGATATCACGCCTACGCAGGTCAATATCTCGCTGACGACGTACATGGTATGTGTCGAATAATTCGTTGAGGATTCCTCGTCTCTTTCAGGCTCTTCCCCAACCTTCCAACAATCAACCTAAGCTCTTTACACCACCCGATTGCATAGCCTAGCATCTAACATCCACAGATTGCCCAAGCCATAGCCCCAGCCTTCCTCGGTACTCTCTCCGACAACAGCGGACGAAGACTAACATTCATAATCTGCTTCGTAATCTACTGCATAGGCAACATCGGACTCGCCCTGCAAACAAACTACGTCGCCCTCCTCATCCTCCGAATGGTTCAAGCAATCGGCGGCTCCGCAGCCATAGCCCTGACAATGGCCGTCGTAGCCGACATCACCACCTCCGCTGACCGCGGCACCTACATGGGCTACGCGCAAGCCGGCGTCTTAATGGGCCCAGCCTTTGGCCCTACAATCGGCGGTCTCCTCTCCCGCTACCTAGGCTGGCGCGCAATCTTCTGGTTCCTCGCCATCTTCTCCGGCACCCTCCTCATCCTGTTCGTCTTCTTCTTCCCAGAAACCTGTCGTAAAGTCGTAGGAAACGGCTCTATTCCTCCCCGCGGCGTAAACCGCTCAGTCATAAGCTGCATCCAGCAGCGCAAACTCCGCCGTAAATTCCCCCAGGAAACAACGGCGCCACTGCCTCCGCGCACCAAGACGGCATGGCCGAACCCATTAGCTACGATGAGAATCCTGGGTGAAAAGGAATCAGGCATCATACTCCTGTACAACGGCCTCTTCTTCACAGGCCTAATGGTAACCGTAGCGGCGATCCCCGATCTCTTTCACGAAGCCTACGGCCTCGACGAACTTGACATCGGACTCTGCTACATCTCCAACGGCGTGGCCTCTCTCATCGCCTCCTTAACCATGGGCCGCGTCGTCGACTGGAACTTCCGACGCCACGCCCGGAAAATTGGGCTGGTGATTATCCCGGGCAAGCAGCAGGATCTCAGCAATTTCCCTATTGAGCGCGTGCGCATGGAGGTGTTGCTGCCGAACCACGTAGTCGGCGTGCTAGGTATTGTCATGTTTGCGTGGACGCTGCGGTTCAAGACGCATATTGCGGGCCCGGAGATTGCGCTGGGCGTCATGGGGTTTTGTATTACGAGTGCGTTTAATATTACGAATGGGTTGTTGATTGAGTTACATCGTGATCAGCCGGCGGCGGCCACGGCGGCGGTGAATTTTGCGAGGTGTCTAATGAGTGCGGGTGGGTCGGCGGCCATTCTGCCAATGTGTCGCGCGATGAATCCCGGGTGGGCGTTTACGCTGATTGCATTTATTTACGTGGCGTTGTTACCGGTGGCACTGTGGGTGATGAGGGATGGTATGAAGTGGCGGCAGGAGTTGGCGGAGAAGAAGAGAGTGCAGGCTGAGATGCGGGGGAATGGTGTATAAAAAGGGTCTCCACTATGTCTAACTTTACAAAACTAATGATTGATTTTTCAGTAGTTAATAAACTTTTCATTAAGAAGCCAAACTTACGTGCATATCCCTGCTTGGTGTCACTGCTCAAAGGGTGTTTACGTGTGGCCAACAAAAATGACTGCTCAATTCACGGTGCAGAGAGCTTTCTAAGAAATAGAGTTTTTGAAGAATGTAATCTAACCATGAAGAGAATATGAGCAAAAAGAAACACGGCTTAACTCGTTGCGCCTCAAAACGCAACCATCTAAATACCCACATAAACCATTTGAGAATTCTTGAACAAAGAATAAAGAAGAAGTGAACCCCAAAAGCCAAAAATCCTTCATGAAAGCTCATCACTCCCTTCACTGTCTATCCCCACTCTAATTTCTCCACCCAGTCCCCTCACCTTTTCCCTTCCCGACTACTGCGACCATGCCCTGCCACACTTCACTAAAGTCATGGTATCCGTTGCCCTCGATCCCGCTTGTCAAGAACACCCAGTCGGCAGCTTCCTCAACTTTCCCAATCACATAGCTCAGCACATCCTGATTTAGCCTTGGGACAGAGTGCAGAATGACTCCCAATTTTGAATTCGGGACGGCTGCCTTGGAAAGAGGCCCCATTGTGTCCTTGTCTAGGTACTTTTCGAAAGTTTCTTCAAAGACAACGGTGAGATCGGTGAGGTTGAAGTACGAGTCTGCAAGATAGCCAGGTGAGGTGAGGTCCGCTAGAGGGACAAGACCGGGGTTGTGCGCAATAAAGCCCTTCTTGAACGTCGTACTCGTATTCTTGACTGCATGTGTTGCGCGTTCGAGATAGGCATATGATTCTGGGGTGTAAGTGCTAGGTGTTTCGTCGAAGAAGATGCCGTCGACGCGCATGCTTGTCACGTTCGTTACGGAGGGCCAGCTTGAGTATGTGTCGATTTCTGCCAAGACATCGTCTACGGTCTTTTTGGTGTAATGCGTCGCTACATAGCCCAAGGTACGGATATTGGGGTATTGAGCAAGTTTGGGGATTTCGTCCAGGTATACTGAGTCAGGCAGTGAACCCATGCAGGGTCCAGAGCAGGGATTGAGCACGACTGTAAAAGAAACATCGCGGTGTGCCTTTGCCCTGATCTCTGTTAGAATGAGAGGAATAAAAGGATCGTGTATACATACGATGCATAGAGTGGATCCCAAGCACCGGGACTGGGGTAGATGTAGAGAGGAAGGAGAATAGACATCATGCCACAGATTGTCAAGTTATTGTCTTGCAGACGGAGATCTTTTCTCGAACGAAATTCTCAGGCGATAGTTGCAGTCGAAAAATCTAGAAAAGGGTCGGCCCTGTTTGTGGTGCAGTGTGCGGAGCCAGTTCATGTTGTACCTGGCAGCGGGTACTGGCCCTAGCCGCCCGAGCTACCACGCTATTTAGATGATCCTCAATATAAAACATACATATACATTAGTACCAAATACAGTTGTTGTGTCACGTTGATGCACTGTATCCGGACTGATGGCGACCCACTACGGCTAAAATAGCGATGGTAACCGAAGATCTAGATTGCGGGAATTCTTCCATCAAATCAATCCTTTTCGATGTCGAAAATTTGCCATGTATCTCCACGATGAAAGCTGCAGCCGATATTTGCATGGAGTCCATGTCCATGAACGTGCGTATTGTGGCGCCTGTAGTCATAGTTGATGAATCCTTAAACTCAGGCCACCCGTTCGGCCGCAGATGGAAGAGCATGGAAGTTCCCTGATCAATACCGATGAAGGAGAATTCTGCGTCATATGTAGCTAGATATGGAATATCGATTAGTCCAACCGGATCGGAGTTTAAAGGGCTGCTTATGTATCCAGTCAAACTATGGTGGTTGTGGTCCAGGAGCCAAAACGTTGCATGCTGGGGCTTGAAAAATGACGTGCTATTTCCAAATTATGCGTCCTGTATATTGCATCGATGCGTTTGATCGTGATACAATAACTGGAAGTGGTCTCTATGCCGAAGTGCTTTAATTCCCGTAGTTTGTACACCAGCTTGACCGCAGCCGCCTTGTCGTGTCTAGCATCCGGAGCAGACGGAGAGTTGACGACAGCCTTGGCAAGTCTTTGTAGCAACTGTTCCAGAGATTCTGCCAAGTAGTCCAGGATGACGGTCGGCGAAGATTACTCATGGAGGAAAAGCGCCATCTGCAATGACCGAAAAAAATAGTTTGTTGTCTGTGTCAAGGTCAGGATACGAGTTGTCGAAGTCCGAAAAGTGGCATCGTAGAGAAGGTTGTGGCTGAACCGTGCACCAGCTGAAGATACTGTTGCAGGAGACACCGGCTGTTGGTATGCGGGACTACATCCTTGTATCCGAAAGTGGTACTTGGGGCTGAAAAGCCGGGGCCGAGAACTCGATCGATGCACTGGAAGTAGGTTGGTGAAACTACGAGAAAGGAAGTTGAGAAAAAGGATTGATGCAAAGCAGTCTAGCGAGACTCGGGTAGTCGGGAAGGACCGACTCAACTAGTTGAAGTCTGGGCAGCGGCTGCAAAGCCAATGGAACAAGAGCCCTTAGCCATGCATCGGAATACCACTATGAAAATTGTTAGAGGCACGATCTACATCATGTTAATTTCCAGTGGTAATGATCACATTGCTTTTGTATTTGCTTCTTTCCCAGCCACCAGTTGTGTGTACTAGCGGGTAGCAACGTCAAGTGAACGTCATTTACAGAACTTACTTCTATAGAGACTTGGGGTGATTGCATGTGCTTTTCAATGCCCCAAATTAATTCCAGCATTAACGTACTGAACGGAATCATAAAATCGAGTTGTAGGAACAAGTAGCCTGTCTGTAAGCAGAGTAGCCGGTAAAACCATTTGAGGGGAAGATCAGCGCTGTAGAAAAGGTTTTGATTGCACTGATCCGATTCCAGGCCTTTAGCCAGCTTCTTTCAGAGAGACAAGCTCGCAGTGAACTGTCGACCAGAGGCGACCAAGTCGACATTGGTAGCCTCCACCTTTGACGCAGCATCGGATCTGTTGAAGTTGCCTGCTACGATGGATTTGATGCCACCTTGTTGCAGGATGTCAGGATGTTTTCTCAGTGTTGTTCTTGGTCCTTCCTAACAATCGCAGGGTTTGCTGTCACGCGTAGTACTTGCAAAAGCCAAGACAGACTCCGGTGCCAGCAGCACCAATGGGTTTGGGGCACGCTTGTCTGACTGTCGGGGGAAACAACTAGGTACTTGAATGATCCGCCATACGAATCCGTTCTCGTGGTTGCACTGCTGTGTGAGTGCTGATTGTGCAAATGTGCGTTGACGCCGCGTATTACAGCGGCATTGAAAGCGAGTGGTGGTAGCTAAGGAAGAGTGGGGTGTTGCGGGTAGAGCGTTCCAGCCAGACAAAGTTGTCCGCCAGTGGAAGGTTAGCCTCTACCCACACCAATCAGGCCTATCGGCGATATCGTCACGTGACAGTGCTGTCGATTTGATCATGCAGAGGCTGGAGAGTTGTCAGCGTCGTTCTGCCAGGCTCACGAGAAGAGCATCACATCCCTTGTCCGGGCTCTTGTCGTCTGTTTTGTACAGGCTCTCCGTGGATCTGCCATGTCTCTCCCCATTCCGCCGAAAGGTAGCGCTGCAGACCCACCTCGGGCGCATTCCGCTGTCGACGCCCTCACACCCTTGATCGAAGCGACATACAAAACACCCAATATAACAACATATATCAACGGCAGGAAGACCGTCATAAGCAACCCAAACCCCCACTGGACGCTGCTTGACTACCTTCGCGCCCAGCCCAATCTCAAAGGTACCAAACTGGGCTGTGGCGAAGGTGGATGTGGCGCATGTACAGTCGTACTTCAAGTCGCAGACTCGCAGTCCGAGAAGAAACGGATTAAACATCTGTCAGTAAACGCATGCTTGTTCCCGCTAGTGGGTATCGACGGCAAGCATGTCATCACCGTCGAGGGCATTGGCAGTGTTAGCCGACCACACCCCCTGCAAGAGAGGATTGCAAAACTTCATGGCAGCCAGTGTGGATTCTGTCAGTGTCTAGATTTGCAGCTGCCTGGTCAGGTTACTGACAAATGTCGTAGGTACTCCTGGTATCGTCATGAGTCTTTATGCCATTGTGCGCAATGCATACAATCCCGACACAAACAAGTTTCATCTAAGTTCCCGTGAAATCGAGATGGAAGGTCACTTAGATGGCAACCTGTGTCGTTGTACTGGTTACAAGCCTATCTTGCAGGCTGCAAAGACTTTCGTCGCCGAAGACTTGAAGGGCCAACTAGCTGAGGAAGATGGACCAACCACACTAGACGCTGGGCGATTCGAAGACGATGTCACTGATCTTACCCGCAGCGGATGTGCAGGACCCTCCAAGGTTTCCTGCGGTCGTCCAGGGGGCTGTTGCAGGGATGAGCCCTCAGATAGCAGCTCCGCCGATAGCAAGTCTAACACTTCCTCACCGCCATCAGAGCCTACTTCGACATCCGAAGGTGAGCATACGCCTGCCGCCCTGGGCACAAAACAGCCTCCGCAGGCAGACCCTGCAATTAGCGGTGCAGAATATGCGAAACCTTTGAAAAGCAAGGAAGGAGATGCAGCCACTCAAACCAAAACTTCAACTTCTGCCGCCCTTGCACCAGCAGCAAACTCAGAAAAGGGCATCCCAAGAATAGAGTTTCACGAATACACGCCAGACACAGAGCTCATCTTCCCCTCCGCGCTGTGGAAGCACGAACCACAATCGATATGTTACGGCAACGACAAGAAGATTTGGTTCCGACCTACCAAGCTTGACCAGCTACTGGACCTCAAGGATGCATTTCCATCGGCCAAGCTCGTTGGAGGTGCCAGTGAAGTCCAGGTGGAGGTTCGCTTCAAGAATTCGGATTTTGCAGTGTCTGTCTACATTTCAGATATCCCAGAGCTCAAGCATACTAAGATCCCTATGGATGCTCAACTCGAGAATGCCAAGGAGCTTGTCATTGCAGCCAACACTCCACTGACCGAACTAGAGGAGATATGTAAAACGGTTTGTGCCAAGCTTGGTAAGCGTGCGATGGTTCTAGAAGCTCTCCGAAAACAACTGCGTTACTTTGCTGGTCGCCAGATTCGCAACGTAGCGTCGCTGGCTGGTAATATTGCAACCGCCTCGCCCATATCGGACGCGAATCCCGTGTTGCTGGCAGCGGGTGCCACACTAGAGGCTATCAACAAGAGGGATGGTAGCGTTCACCTTCCCATGTCCAAATTCTTTGTAGCATACAGGACTACGAGTCTGCCTCCTGATGCAACCTTGCATAGCATCCGGATCCCTTTACCACCAAAAGATTCCAGAGAGGTGCTCAAAGCGTACAAGCAGGCTAAGCGCAAAGATGATGATATTGCAATCGTTACGGCGGCATTCAGGGTGCGCCTCGATTCCGCCGGACGGGTCGAGGATGCGTCCATCGTTTTTGGTGGCATGGCGCCAATAACTAAGGATTCGCCAAAGACACAGAGTGCTCTTCTCGGCAAGCCATGGTTTCACTCGGAGACGCTAGATGCTGCGCTTACTGCGTTGACACGGGATTACGACCTTCCATATAGCGTTCCAGGTGGTATGGCTGATTACCGCAAGACTCTCACACTTTCGCTCTTCTTCCGCTTCTGGCACGAAGCTGCCGCTGAGTTTGGGCTCGGAAATGTTGATCAGCAGGTTGTAGATGAGATTCATCGTGATATCTCTAGTGGAACGCGTGACAACTACAACCCCTACGAGCAGCGTGTTGTTGGTAGGCAAGTCCCTCATCTCTCCGCTCTTAAGCAATGCACAGGTGAGGCCGAGTATATTGATGACATGCCGAGACTGGATCGGGAACTATTTGGTGGCCTTGTCATATCTACAAAAGCACATGCCAAGATCTTGAGCACCGACTGGGACAGAGCGCTTGATATGCCTGGTGTTGTTGGATACATTGACAGAAATAGCATTCCTTCTAACGTGAATATTTGGGGATCTATCAAGAAAGATGAGCCGTTCTTCGCCGAAGACAAGGTTTTGTCACACGGCCAAGTCATTGGAATGGTCTATGCCGACACAGCGTTGGAGGCTCAATCAGCTGCTCGAGCTGTCAAGGTTGAATACGAAGAGCTGCCTCACATTCTGACTATCGATGAAGCCATTGCAGCTAACAGCTACTTTCCACATGGGAAGTTTCTGAGGAAGGGCCTGGCTATTGACGATAAGATGGCTGATGCGTTTGCCCAATGCGACAGGATCTTCGAAGGCATGTGTAGGCTAGGTGGTCAGGAACATTTCTACCTCGAAACGAACGCAGCATTGGCTATACCATCTGGAGAAGACGGAGCTATCGAAGTCTGGTCTTCGACCCAAAACACCATGGAAGTACAAGAGTTTGTCAGTTCAGTATTGGGGATACCAAGCAACCGTGTCAACGCTCGTGTCAAGCGCATGGGAGGCGGTTTTGGTGGGAAAGAATCTCGGAGTGTGCCCTTTGCTGTCTACACGGCAATTGCAGCTAGAAAAGAGAAACGACCAGTCCGCATCATGCTGAACCGTGATGAAGACATGTTGCTCAGTGGCCAAAGACATCCGTTCAAAGCGCAATGGAAAGTCGGGGTATCGAAAGAGGGCAAGCTCCTTGCTATGGAAGCTGATGTCTATGACAATGGCGGATTTTCCCAAGACATGAGTGGAGCCGTCATGGACCGATGCCTGACACACTTTGATAACGCATACGAATGCCCGAATGTCTTCCTACGTGGTCACGTTTGCAGAACCAACATCCATAGCAACACGGCGTTCCGGGGCTTTGGCGCGCCTCAAGGCATGTATTTTGCAGAAACCATCATGTACAACATTGCAGAAGGTCTTGGTATAGATGTCGACGAGCTACGATGGAAGAACTTGTACAAGGCTGGAGAGCACACTCCATTCTTCCAAAAGATTGACGAAGACTGGCACATACCGATGCTGCTTCACCAGCTGAGCAAGTCGTCTGAATATGAGAAACGGAAAGCCGCTGTCAACGAATTCAACGAGAAGAACCGGTGGCGAAAGCGAGGTATCAGTCTGATTCCATCAAAATTCGGTCTCAGCTTTGCAACTGCATTGCATCTCAACCAGGCAGCTGCCTATGTAAAGATCTACCACGACGGAAGTGTCTTACTACACCACGGAGGAACAGAAATGGGCCAGGGTCTCTACACAAAAATGTGCCAGATAGCCGCCCAGGAACTAGGTACACCCCTCGACGCCATCTACACACAAGATAGCCAAACCTACCAAATCCCCAACGCCTCCCCCACAGCCGCTTCATCCGGCTCCGATCTCAACGGCATGGCCGTAAAAAATGCCTGCGACCAGCTCAACGAACGCCTGCAGCCCTACCGCGAGAAACTAGGCCCAGACGCACCCCTCAAAGACCTTGCCCACGCTGCCTACATCGACCGCGTCAACCTCGCTGCAAACGGCTTCTACAAAATGCCAAAAGTAGGCTACACATGGGGCGACACCAACCCCGAAACCGTTAAACCGATGTACTACTACTGGACTCAAGGCGCTGCATGTTCGGAAGTTGAACTCGACCTTCTCACTGGCGATCACACCGTTCTTCGCTCTGACATTATGATGGTAAATATTACTCCCCTCCCCTCCCTCATTTCCTCCCCTCCGTCTATCCCCCCACAAGTGCTAATCAAGGGGAAAACAGGATGTCGGCAACTCAATCAACCCCGCCATAGACTATGGCCAAATCGAAGGCGCCTTCCTCCAAGGTCTCGGCCTCTTCACAACCGAAGAATCCCTCTGGCACGCCCGCTCCGGCCACCTCTTCACCCGCGGCCCCGGAACCTACAAAATCCCCGGTTTCAGCGATATCCCGCAAGTCTTCAACGCGAGCATGTTGCGCTATGACAACGACGGGAAGCCGTTGAATTGGAATCATCTGAGGACGGTGCAGAGTAGTAAGGGGATTGGGGAGCCGCCGTTGTTTCTGGGAAGTACGGTGTTCTTTGCGTTGAGGGAGGCGGTGGGGGCGGCGAGGAGGATGAATGGGAAGAGTACGGAGAGGGAGGGGGACGGGGTGTGGAATTTGGATAGTCCGGCTACGTGTGAGAGGTTGAGGTTGGCGGTTGGGGATGATCTTGTGGAGAGGGCGAAGGTGGTGAGAAAGGAAGGGGAGGAGCCGTTTTTGGTGGCTGTTGCGTAGAGATTGTAACTCGGGAGAGGAAGGTGGTTGGTTTGAATGATGACGATTCTTCTCAATTTTCACGTCAGTTGATTGAATTTACTACTCACTTTCTCAAGAAGAATATTTATGTATTTGGCCAGATTGTCATCTAAAGCATGCAAATAACATGTTCCCGCCATGAAGTAAAGAAAAGAAACCAAAAATGTCTAAGTAAATCCCTAATCCCAAAAGAGGAACGCTTTTGGGCACAAAAAAGGCCATGCGAACAGAGAACAAAGTCGTAAATCTAAAAGATATAAGAAGTTTCCAGCTGAAAAGGAAGAATGAAGAAAGGAAGAAAGAGTAATCCCAGCGAGGAAGTTACATATCCTGCATAAACTTCTCATAATAATCATCCATCCATTGCACAGCCGTAAACCCACTCTCGCGACTCCCATCGGGAAAACGGCGGAACGTCCCAACATAGCCATCCGGCCTTACATTAACAACAACAACTTCGTTCTTGTCAAGACCATCAAGCCACTTATCCATACAAGTCTGCTTGCGGGTATCTTTATCCGGAACATCATCTAGGTAGAGAGTAAACGCCGATTCACGGAGGACGTTTGGCAAGTCTCTGAGTTCGAAATTAGTGCGATTTTCGTCGGTGACGAGGGCATAAGTAAAAACGCCGCTGACGGGTGTGTATCGTTCTGGGAGGACGAATTCGTCGTGGGGGGCAGCAAGTGGGGGTTGAACTGTGTACGAGGCGTTGCCTGCGGCGCTGACGCGACCGACGTAGGAGGCATGGCCGAGGTGGGCGTGGCAGACTGTTTCTAAAAAGGGCATGGAGGCGCGGATGTTGTGGGTGAAGAAGTAGATGCGGAATTGGCCTAGGGCAGGGATGTCGGTTTGGATGTCGACTGGGTTGGCGTCGATGTAGCGTGTTACTTTTGCTGGCGGAAGAAGAAAGCCGGGCTTGAGGTGGCCCCGGTGAGAACCTTTTGATTTTACATTTAGCACGTTTGCATCGTAGTTTACACCGCAGCCTGAGATGAAAGCCACGTTCTTGGCAAAGTTTGCTGCGAGGGCTGCGGGATCGCCCCTGTGGAAGGCATTGGCGTGCTCGTAGTCAAAGTCAATCAGGTCCTTGGCAATTTTTTGTCGTTCCTGTTCGTACGACTGGAGCAGCGAAGGTTTGGCGAGACCGCGGGTGGCAAAGTTGAGTTTCCAGGCAAGGTTCCAGGCGTCGTGCATTGACGTGTTCATTCCTTGTGCTGCTTTTGGAGAGTGGGTGTGGCTAGCGTCGCCAGCAATGAAGACCAGCTGGTCGTCGTCGGCAAAGCGGGCTGCAACGCGCTGTCCAATCTTGTAGCGGCCGAACCACTCGACATTTCTCCACTCGAGCCTGTATGGCTGAAGTATAGCCTGCGCCCGCTTCTGCACGAATTCTTGTGTGGCTTGTTGGGGCCCAACAACTTCTGTGGAGTCGGGACGCAGCTCAATGTAGAGGCGAGTCAGGCCCCTCTCGCGGGGAATGAGGAGTACTGAGCCGAGTGCATCTGACTGGATGACGACCTTGCTCCAAATGTCGGGAAAGTCGGTCTCAAGCACACCGTCTATTACGCCCCAGACAGCATCGGTGGACGAGCCTACTAGACTCGCGCCCTGTATGCACTTGCGGACTTTTGAATGGGCACCATCGCAGCCGACAATGTATCGTGTGTTGAATGTCTTGGGGGCACGGCCGACATCTTGCTGGCAGCTCACAGTCAGCGGACGGATGGCCATGGGCGTGTACTTGAAATCGACAAAGGCGGTGTTCCTGGCTACTGTGACACCTCTCTCCTTCAAATCATCTTCAAGCACGCCTTCGACCATGCCCTGGTGGACAAGCAGCATGTAGGGGTCGGTAAGGTCAACGACAGGCGGGTAGTGGACCTCGCGGCCGGAGCGGTGCAGTGGCTTGTCGACTGTCGACTTCCAAAAGGCAATGTCGTAAATCTTGACGCCTTTGCGCAGCAGGGGCTCTGCAAGACGCATCTGGCGGAGAGTCTCAATAGTCTTTGGCTGCAAGCCATCGGCACGGCCGGCAGCGGTGCGGTTGGGACGGTCATCGATGATGCGTGTCTTGATGCCATAGCGCACCAGATTGTCGCTGTATGCTTAGTTAGAGAGTGCAATCAGCTGGCAGTGTGGCTGGTTGTGTCGTTACTCACGCAAGCATGAGGCCGGCGGGGCCTGCGCCGACGACCATGACATCACTCATGAAGCTCGAGTAGTCGTCCTCTCTGGTGTAGGGCACGCTGGGGGTGGTCTCCAAACTGCTTCCTGTCGAACGGGACTCGGAGTCTGAAATGGTAGTGATGCCGGGGGCCATTTTGTCGCGGATGGACGTAGGCGGACTGGTCGAGGTTGAGCGCTTCATGCGCGTCCAGAGTGAGGGCGCCATGGTTTTGCTATGTAGGCAGTAGTGGCCGGGGCGCTAGGGCAGAGATGGTCGGGGGAGGCCGACTCGCTCGAGGTGGGAAGGATTTGGAGAGTCAACAAACGTTCGATTATCTGTCGAACATGTGCCCATTTTCAAACGGCAGAGCAGCGTCCAGGGTCGTCCGAGGCGCGTCATTGTGCTGGCGGCGAGGAGAGAGGGTGGGCGCCAATGGGTGATGCGACGCAAGGGGTTGCATGCACATGGCCGTGAACGGCTTCTTCAGCCCCACCCGCCTCCCCGGCTGCCACCCAAGTCACCACCACGTCCCCATGTCGTGGCCGTTGCAACCCCCCGACAAGACGCCGACGGCAGCTAGCTGTCCTGAGCAAGCCGCGATATTGCATCCACGTGGAGGGGGAGGGGTTGGGGTTGTGGTTGTTGTTGAGCATGCCAAAGTGCCCGGGGGGTGTATACTACAATGTCCATGTACGTACATCTCAAAGTGGTATGCCTGTCTGTCTCGCCGTGCCGTCTATTGTATTGGTATTGATAGTCCGCACCAGGGGGGGCCTCACTCACTCTCTCTCTCTCTTTTTCTTTATCTCTGCTATCTCTTGTATACTAACTAGCTATATACTCGCCGCCACCACCACCACCACCGCCTCTTTCTCCTCCATCCCTCCTCCTCCTCTTACTCTACACAGCACCATGACGACATGCAGCACGTCCCAATTGCAGTGGCAGCAAGTAGCCGCCCAGAAACAGTCTTTGCGTCGAGCGGCCATGCAGCGCTTCACGGGCGCAGACGCTGAAACGACGGCAGCCGAAGTGAACCCGGGCGGCTTGCGGATGCAGGTGGTGCACGCTGACGACTGCAGGCCTTGCCCAATCCGGACCACAGCCTGGCCTTGACCTCCGCCATCAGCAGCATCCATCTTGTCTCGCAAGCCATCTCCTCGCGTGCTGTCACGGCATCACAGCTGCTGCTTGCCTACATCGCCCGGTAAGTAAGCTTCGCCAACCTCAACTCGCTCTCGACCCATTCTCACGCCACCTTTTCTGCCCAGCGCTACACATGCTCAAACCCGCGTACGGCCCGCCGCCTTCCACCCTCTCCTAGTCGACGTCCGACTGCCCGTCCCGCTAACTGCCTTGTACAGACAAACTGGCACGTGCCCGCTCCCTACCCCTTCTCGAATATACAATACAATACAATAATCCTCCCGCTCATCCCCCGCCTTTGCTGACTGATGCAGCTTGACCGAGATTCTTTTTGACGATGCCCTTGAGCGAGCCAAGGAACTGGATGCCTTTTTCGAGCAAAATGGCCGCTTGGTGGGGCCTCTCCACGGTGTGCCAATGACTCTCAAGGACCAGTTCGATGTCAAGGGATACGACAGCACGTTGGGCTACGTTGGGCGGGCTTTTCGCCCTGCCCTCCAAGATTGCGTCTTGGTCTCTATGCTCAGAGCCATGGGCGCCGTAATCCTTGCCAAGTCCAATCTCCCCCAGAGCATCATGGTAAGTATGTATACATAAGTATCTATATACACCCACACATGTCCACATTATGTACTCCTATATACATATGCACACATGACATGTATGCCTTCCAGAACAACGTGCACAACTGACATCGCCAGTGGTGCGAAACGGATAACCCATTGTGGGGCCGTACCGTTCACGATAAAAACCCCGAATTCACCCCCGGCGGTTCCACTGGTGGGGAAGCGGCGTTGCTGGCACTGCAAGGTACGGTGGTTGGATGGGGCACCGACATTGGAGGCAGCGTACGCATTCCAACCCATATGAATGGCCTATATGCTCTTAAGCCCAGCAGTACGCGTCTACCATACCAAGGCGTTTCCGTCTCGACCGAAGGCCAGGAGCACGTCCCGTCCGTCGTAGGGCCGATGACTCGAAACATGGCCTCTCTAGTCGACGTCACAAAGGCAGTGATCGACGCAAGTCCCTGGGACCACGACCCAAAGTGCTGTCCAGTTGCTTGGCGATCTCAGCTTTACCAAGATGCGCTTTCCAGGCCGTTGGTGATCGCAGTCATGCGCGACGATGGCGTAGTCAGGTGCCATCCACCCATTGCACGCATCCTCAACCAAGTCGCCGCTGCCCTCCAAGACGCTGGCCATGAAGTGATAGCGTGGACACCAGGCGGTCTGCACCAGGAGTGCATCGACGTCATGGCAAGTCCATCACCATTTCCACATCTGACTCGACCCTGACGTGTATGTGTGTGCAGGACCAGTATTATACGGCCGACGGCGGTGAGGATATCCGACGTGACGTCGAGGCCGGTGGCGAGCCCTTCATACCCCATGTCGAGGCCCTCGTCAATAGGGGACAGCCCATTTCGGTATACGACTACTGGCAGCTCAACAAGCAAAAGGTGGCATTGCAGAAGCGCTACCTGGACACGTGGAACTCGACGCGATGCGAAAAAAGCGGAAAGTCTGTCGATGTTCTGCTTACGCCCGTCATGCCACACTCCGCAGTACCACATGGCAAGTGTCGGTGGGTAGGATACACCAAAGTTTTTAACTTCATAGACTACCCGGCAGTTGTCCTGCCTGCCGGTCAAGTTTCAAAAGAGCTTGATGCTGAGGCTACTGAAGCCATGGGCGAATACTGTCCGAGAAATCCGTTGGACGAATGGAATTGGAACATGTTTGACCTGGACGCAATGGACGGCATGCCGGTCGGAGTGCAGGTTGTCGCGCGTCGCTTACAAGAGGAAAAAGTGCTTGGTGCTGCAGCTGTCATTGATAGGATAGTCAACGGTATGTAATGCGGTGCGCACGTGTTTTGTTAGCACTTTTGTCGATGCGGCTGCAAACAAGTCAAATTAGAGTTTTGCCGAGCCTTGAGATGCCGACCGTGAAGATGCCGCTCGCTCGTGTTCGGCGGATCCTGAAGGATTGAGCCTAACGCACGTGAATACGCGAGCACGCGACAGTCAGGCCTATAATGATTCGTGGCGCCCCCGCTATCGAGTCGTGTAAGGCGCCCTGCTCCACTGCGGAAAGCGACCCTGCATCAATAAGCCAGGCAAGCGGGGAAAGTCGAATAAAACATGGCAAGCCAAGCAGTTGCCCAGTGATGATTTTTACAGTACCTCCTATTGAGTTGCTTTTGCATCCTCTGCTGGGTTGTGTCGATTCTAGTACGCTAACTTTGATATTTGATATAGTCGACATTCGACCTGCTTAATATAGAGAGTTTCCTTCCTTGTCCAGCCGAGATTTTCGCATGATCAGAGTTCTCTCTGTAAGGTGAACGTCAACTGTCACGTGATGATACCAAATGAGAACTCGTACAAGAGACTGACTTGTACAGCGTCACTTCCATCCTCATCCACTAAATAGAAACCTTATCTACATTATCCCCTGCCCTTAAATCGTTCACTATCCTCATGCCGCAGTCCCGTCATGCTACATCCAAGGGTGGTATACTAACACCACGATCCTCCCCCAGCCCTCTCCCAGGTGTACTACGTCAGCATCGGAATATCCGGAACCTATCGGAATAATGCACCACGCATACCCCTCATGCCGTCATGTGCCTATCTTATCCTCACGCTGCACACACTCCACATGTATCAACAACATCATTTTAGCCTACCGGATATGCACCCTGTGCACCTTTGGCGCCCTCAGCGCCCGAAGCTAACCGACGACGCTGTCCAAAAAAGCAATAACAAAAGAAAGGTTTGGTTGCAGTTCCGAATCTGCAAAGCTAGATAAGCTATCGATACTTGCTCATGCGTCGCCTGTTGAGCTACTGTATGTAATCGTCACAACAAGGTTTCGCTGCGTGATAGGCTGGCGTGGTAAGACGGGCGAGCCGTATGACGACAACTGACAGCTTGTGCTTTCGATTGCAGCTTCAGGAACATGTAGTGCTTTGAGCTGGCTGATAAGCTATGGATGGCATCTTTTCAGCCGCTTGTATAGTTACGAGTACTATTGTAGTGGCTTTTGGAACTTTCGTGTTTTGAAACGTGAACACTTACCCAGAGATACGACTGTAGTTGCAAGCGGAAAAGTGACATCATGGCACCGGGTAAACCTCAGGTTATCGTGCAGAAACAGCGGGATGAGAAGAGTAGGCTTGATGTAAGTGTTTTTTTGCGTATGTCTCTCTATCGCGGATCTTTTTTAACTAATTCGGTGTCCCTACAGGTTGTTATCGTCGGTGCTGGGCTTGGTGGTCTCGGAGCAGCGATATCGATCTTGCTAGCCGGACACAACGTACATATCCTCGAGTCGACGTCTGAAATTGGTGAAATCGGCGCTGGAATCCAATGCTTGCCGAATGCGTCGCGGATCTTGATATCATGGGGTCTCGAAGAGTATCTCGAGAAGTATGCGACGACACCGCGGTTCGGTAATATGCGTGGGTGGAAGGGGAATAAGATAAGCGATATGGATTTTCATGAGTATGAACGAGAATGCGGTACACCGTTTTGGGACTTTCACAGGGCGGACTTGCATAGGGGGCTTTTGGAACGAGCAATCGAGTTGGGTGCGAAGTTGACTACAAGAGCGAGGGTTGTAGATATCGAGTACGAAGCCGACCAAGGGAATCAGACTACCCGAGCCATCGCCATATGTCAAGACGGCACAAGATACGCAGCGGACCTAGTAGTCGGTGCTGACGGCATCAACTCCAAATGTCGCGAGATACTCCTAGGTCACAAAGACCCCCCGCTTCTCACAGGCGATCTCGCATACCGCCTCCTCCTCTCCACCAGCGACATGCTCAAAGACCCCGATCTCGCTCCCTTTGTCCTCGATCCCCAAGTAAACTACTGGATCGGCCCAGACGCCCACGCAGTAAACTACGTCCTCCGCGGCGGCAAGCTCTTCAACATGGTCCTCCTCGTCCCAGACGATATGCCCGCCGGCGCCAACACGCTCGCAGGCAACGTCGAGGAAATGCGCGCCTTATACAAAGACTGGGACCCCCGTATCCGCAAACTGCTCGCGCTATGCACGTCTGTCGCTAAATGGCGGTTGATGATCCGCCCGGGGCTTGATCCTACTTGGTCGCATACCCGGTCGTCTGCTTTTACGATTCTAGGGGATGCTGCGCATGCGACACTGCCGTATCTTGCGTCTGGAGCGGGTATGTCGCTGGAAGATGCGCATGTGCTTGGGCTTTGTCTGGAGCGGCTGACTGGTAAGTCCCGCACCCAGAAGGGGAGGGCGCTGGCGGTGTACGAGCGGTGTCGGCGTGAGCGTACTGAACGTGTTGTTTCAAGGGGGAATCGCCAACAGTATCTTTATCATGTGCATGATGGGGAGGCGCAGGTAAGGCGGGATGAACTATTGAGGGCTTTTGGACGGTTTAATGGACGGGGGAGGGTGGGCAAGGAGGAGTTTGAAGAGAGAGGGTTGAGGGTTGGGGAGGATCCACTTGCATGGCGGTGGGGAGGCGTGGGGAGTTGGCTGTTGACGTATGGGTGTGAGGAGGATGTTGAGAGGAGGTGGAGGGAAGTGGAGGTGGAGAGTAGGGGCGGTTTGGTGGAGGGAGAGAGTGTTAGGGCGGTTTTGTAGAGGAGTTCTGGTTCTTTCGGGATGAATTTGGGAAATGATATTGGTATTTTAATGAAAGGTAGCTTTGTGTTGGCTGTGGAATTACGTTTACTTGGTAATATCTCGGGACTGGTATCTTCCCTAACGGTGGTCATGGGTGAAATATTGTGGGGCAGTGTACCCTATGTTTCGGGTACTCAGAGCATTTGGAGGTCAATCCTTTCCCTTGACTGGTTATTCTTTCTCCTGTTTACAGAGGTTGGATGATGGGAGAATGCCTGTATCAACCCATGTATTAACAGATTTCGCATACTGATAACGACACGTCGACATCAAAACAACTGGCTTGATCATCAGCAGATAGTTAAAAATATATTAAAGGTTAAGAGAAACATGATTCGGTGTACTAACAGTGACCTAAGAAGGTTAGTCGTGACATGAGAGAAGAAGTCCGATTTTCCTTCCGTTACAATATACCAACTAAAGAACAACACCATATCAGCACACCCCGCATCCGCGATCCAAGCGCAAAAGCTAGCATATTTCCACTCTAAACCAATATTTCACACGGCTACAAGCGCATGAGTAAAAAGTATCAGATGACCCTGAACAAACACCAGTCTTACTAATAAGCCCATCGGAGTTGCCCGAACCGCCTCTTTCCGCGCATACTAGCCAAACAGCCCGTCCAACGAAGCCCCGCGTTACTAGCAGCGGGCCCCACGTCATGCGTGCCCTCCCCAAAAGCATCCAGCGCGTCGCGTCGCCCTCTCTTTCTTCTTTCCTTTCTTCTTCTTCTTCTTCTCTCCCATAATGACCACACCCGCCATTCCCAAATTCAGCCCTGGAGAAGCCGTCAACGAAGAAAATGGCCTGATCCACGGCGTCTCGGCGCAGGAACTGCAGATTCTAGGGGAGCAATGCTTTGATGCGCGTGAGAGGGCTTATTGTAAGTATATTTCCAGACCGATATGAATCGGATCTGGCCACGCAAAGTCAAGTTTGCGTGAAAGAGGAAGATGGGAGCGGAAATACCAACACTAGAATTAGGCCCTTACTCCCTCTTCCGCGTCGGCGCCTCCCTCCTCCTAAACACCTCGAATCCCACCGCCCCATCCACAACGCACATTATCACCGGCGCAAACGTGGAAAACGCAGCCTACCCCGTCGGCACCTGCGCCGAGCGCGTCGCCATGGGCACAGCCGTAATAGCAGGGCACCGCATCGGCGCCTTCAAAGCCGTCGGCGTGACAACCGACATTTTGGACTTTTGCTCCCCCTGCGGCATGTGTCGCCAGTTCCTACGCGAGTTTCTGCAGCTTGAAACCCCGATTTTCATGTTTAATAAGGAGGGAAAGTGGATTGTGAGGACGATGGGCGAGTTGTTGCCGCTCAGCTTTGGGCCGGATGTTTTGCCCCCGAGGGAGGAGTTGAGGAAGGGGCAGGAGGGGGATAAGGCGAAGACTGCGTAGAAAGGGTGGGGGGATTGGGGATATGTAGCATTGGAGGTGTTGGTGATGTATGCATTGCGTGGGTAGTGGGAGTATGAGCATCATTGGCGCACTGGGTGTGGATTGAGGGTGCTAAACTAGATGGTTACATATTCTACAAACAGAATTGAACGCATGGAATACACACAATGAATTTTACATGTCTAGATTCCAAAATCCTTAGAAATCTCCCAAATCTTGCTATTTACTATTCTGCACCCACCCCGCAGCCAGCCTTGCCCCGCGGAAACCATGAAAGCCCATCCCGATAAGCCCCCAGATAAGACTCCCGATTTACCCCAACAGCGAACACTTCCCTATCTCCGCGCCCCGTGGATATGTAATGCACACTGCCACAATCTAGCATTCCTGCAGACCAAGTAAAATGCTCCGCTCAAACATGACGCGACTGTTCCCCCCCGTCTGCCCGCGCTCAAGCAGCGCGTGTATTCCCCTTCTTTTTCTATTTTCCCCATACTGGAAACGCTTTTGAATCGTTTGACTATCGAGTAGACATTGTGGTATATACCTAGTGCCAAGATGACGCAAGGCGATGGGAGTATTAGGGAAGAAGGGATTAGGGATTCGGAGCATTTTTCACCTTACAGGGCTGATGGGAAACTTGTAAGTTGTGTTTCTTTTGTTAAGGATGGGGGATGTTTGTGTGTGAATTGGCGAAGAGGCAAAAAAGTTGAGAAGAATGTGAGGGGAAGATGGGATATATGTGAAAAGAGACTGGCTGATAACACTTGGCAATATAGTACGGCTTCGTGTGCGTAGTAACAGGCGCAACGCAACCTGTAGGCAAAGCCATAGTCGCTGAATTAGCTGGTGCGTCCTTTTCCATTTAACTCCCTCATGCCAAATCCGCTTCCCCAAACAAAGCGTACTACTTTGCAATTCTAACACCACCCAGCCCACGGCGCAGCCTGCATCTACGCCTGCTCAACCCTCCCCTCGGATCCGTACTCCCTCCCCGACACCACCAGCATCCAGTACCCGAACACGAAAATCATAAGCTACCCCTATAACATGGCCTCGGAAGAAGACACCCTCGCCCTCATCGATGACGTGCTAAACACCTGGGGCCGCCTCGATGTCTGGACCTCATCAACCGGGCTCTTGGGTCCCCCTTCCATCACGCAAACAGGACCGAAGGATTTGTATGCGGCTTTCGACACGAATGCGCTCCCTGCGTTTTTCGCACTCAAGTATGCGCCCGCGGCGATGCAGAAAACGACACCGAAAGGCAACTACGCGAATGCTGCACCGAAAGATGTCGCGTACGGCTCTATCATCGTGGTGACGAGCGTGGCGGGGACGTATGGGGGCTGCTGGGCCCCTGCGTTTACGATGGCGTCGCATGCGGCGTTGGGAGTGGTACGGTCCGGTGTGCTTGTATTAAAAGGGACCGGAGTGCGGATCAATGCAGTGGCCGCCGGCCAGATTGATGTGGGCGTTGATTTGAAAGAATGTGGTGTGAAGGAGATGGCCCAGGGACAGTTTCCGCCAGCGAGTCTGCAAGGGGGTGAGAGTCAGAAGAGGACGATTGGGTTGGAGAGGGCGGGGAGGCCCGAGGAGGTGGGGAGAACGGTGGGGTTTCTGGCGAGTGGGTTTAGTAGTTATATCACTGGGGCGGAGTTGAGGGTTGATGGGGGTGCGGGGGTTATGAATCCTATTACCGTGCCTGTCTAGGGATCTAAGTAGTAAGGGATAGTACAGAAGAAGGAATTGAGGTTTTTTACAGTACCATACTCCAGCCGTCTACGCCTTGCTAATGCTGTAACACAACCGGCACACCCTTTTCCCAGTTTTCTATGCTCTCTTTGATATTGACCCAGTACCGCAATTTCACCGCCTCACTCTTCGCCGTATCCAAGTCATCCTCTTTAAATGCCTTGTCGATAATTTCTGTGCTTTGCGCTATCCTCTCTTCGTTCCTTTGCCGCATCTCCTCCAAATCCTCTTCTCGCTCCGCCTCCTCGATGCTCTCCCTCGCCTCGAGAACTTCCATCAACAATTCTGGGTCGTCCACCTTGGCCGTCTCATCATCCGCCACTTGGATGCCCCGCAAAGAAAGTAGATATTGTGCGCGCAATAAGGGGTTTTGCAGTGTTTTGTATGCTTCGTTTATCCGCGCCGACGTGGCCTCGGCGCGCTTCTTGTCTGCTTGCGGGTGAAGATCGGGATGCGCGCGTGCTTGTAGCTGTAGGAACTCGCGCTTAAGGGCGGCGAGGTCGATGGCAAAGGGGCCGTTTGGTGGGGGACCGTCGGGGAGCGATGCGGGAAAGAAGGAGTAGTGTGTCTGTGGGGCTTGTGCAGTCCCTGATGGCTTTGTTTCAAATGGCTTTTCGACCGAATTCGAGCTCGACGATGTAGATTGGAAGCGACGGAAAGCTACTTGTGATCCCATGCGATGGGCGCAGAAGAGACATGGTGCACCAATTTGTCGCGTGCGAATTGACGATAAGACGGCCGAATCAGAGGTGAGCGATGCGCGAATTCTACGCGCGGCGGATGGCCTTAAGGAACGCATTGTTTAGGCTGTGGGGTGTATGTATACGTGTAGTGGGGGTGAAGGTAGAAGAAGGATGTGGTAACAAATGTTGCGCGGATCTGTAGTAGAGGGGTCAAACATTATCGCGCTTAAGACATAATCTACCAGTTACGTCATACATCACTACTAGCTATTATAAAAATTCAACCTATCTTTTACTTTCTATTCTATAGATATAAATACTTTAGAGACTTAGTAAGATTTTAAAGTAACGTGTTCCACCAGTAAGCGGCCCACCCCAGTAAGTGGTCCACCCCACCAAACCTGACACGACTCTCCACACAATCACCACAATGCCGCGACAACAACGCTCTATACAGACTTCTCGTGAAGCTAGAGTACTTCTAGCATCTCGTGCGCTT